ATTCAAATTTTGTATCACTTTATCATGTATGTTATTTTTAGAAAATTAAATTTATATGATTTAATATCTAGTTATTTAAAATAAAATAAATTGCTGGACTTTTATGTATATTAAACTTTTTTTATTGAGTTTTATTGAATTTTTGCAAATATAGATATCAATATAGCTTAAATATATAGAATGGTCAACAATATTGTAAGAAATAAAAAATAGGACATAAATTTTTTTTTTTTTATATATATATGATATATTTGATAGTTATCTATGAAGCTTTAGGCTTAATTCAATTTGTAATTTTGATATTTAGTCAAAGTAGCATTAGAAATTCTCTAAAAATATTTTCATCAATTTGATGTAAATTACAGATGTTATTTTACAATTTTTTAATTTTCTTATAAATGTGATGATGTGTAACTTTTTAGCTGGTTCTTTTTTCTTTTCAAAATTACTTGAATTTTCAGCCTAACTATACATTGTATAATCTAAACATATAAAATGTAATCTTCGAATGTTTCTTTGAAAGAAATTAAGTATCTATACTCTCTTTATATTTTGTATCAATATATTTTATCAAGTTTAGATAGGAATCGTACATACAAAAAATTTGACTACATGTGTTTGAAATTATAAAAAAAGATAATGATTGTAAATCAATTAATTCTAACTAATTTTTTTCACAAAATAAATTTTTTCCAAATCATACTTCAGTCTTAGATTATTATTTCATTCATGGAATCATATTCTTAAATCTATTTCCAAAAATTTATAGGGTTGAAATTAGCTATGTTTATTCATCCAAGGATAATTTGTAGTCACTTCTAATTAATTAATATACTCAAGAATGTAAGGTATTGTATTTGCTGCAAGCTTCATAATGAATCAAGTTTTTGTATGATTTCATATAACTCAATACTATCCGATCTACCAATCAAATCTTGGTTTCTCATAGCTTTGTCCAATTACCCAAAAAGCATGCTAGGAAGATACAATCCATAATTTCTCTTAAGTCTAGCTATTAATTTATAACAGCATATCAATTTTTCTTCAAGTTTTATTATAGAAGGTTGTTATCACATTCAATACTTTTTCACCAACTACAAACTCTAGTCATCTCTAGTAAATGATTGGAATACTTGTTCAAGTTAGTAACAATGAAATTGCAAGATTATCTCCAAGAACGAGGGGAAAGACAAGTATTTCATGATAATATAATCTCCATGTTAACAATAATTCTCAATAGCCAATTCGATAGGATGGATGTGGATCTTTCATTGTTTGAGTACTCCAAAACATTGATTATAATGTTCTTGAGTGACTTCGGATCAATACGGCACAAAGTAATCTTGGTAGCGGCTAGTTATCACTCATCTCGGGCTAGTTGGCCCTCACCCTAGTACGGATTTCATGTTGAGGTTAACTCCGGTTAAGGAGTAACCTCAGGTTATAGCTATTTATAGCTAGGTGTGGCTTTGGGTATATATATAATCCCAAGGCCAAGACTTCGATGAGAAGAAGTATAATATATTCACTGGTCATTAAACCCCCTAGCGTGTTTCAGCCGTGGACGTAGCCCTTGAGGGTGAACCACGTTATATGAATGTCTCGTGTGATTCTCGTGTGATTCGTACTTGGTTTTAGGTTTTATGTTAAGCATTGATATCAGAGACTTGTTTCGATTCGAAATGTGTGTGGTAAGGTTGTGTATCTAGAGTCAAGATCGACTAACATATTTTTTGTCTTTGACAGTTTTTTGTCAGTGGCGGTTTTTTGTGTTAGGCAGGTTCAAGGTTTGTAGTTAAGTTGAAAATTTAAGTTTTTTCCGATAGATTTCTGCTAGTGATGGTTTTTTGGCAAAAGTGACGAAGTTTGTAACAAAAGTCACAGTTTTTTGGCAGTTATTTTGTTTCGAAAGATTGTGCCTTTTTTCTTAATTCGTAACAGAAGTTTGAAAATTTTATTCTTCCAAAGTAAACTTTGCTAACAAACTGACAGTTTTGACAAAGATTGTATTTTTTATAGTTTCTTTCGTTTTTCATTTCACTTCGTGGCAAACGGGATTGTTTTGTCGAGCTGCAGAAGTTCAAAGTTTGGGACTGTTTTTTTGAGCTCTAGAAGTTCAAAGTTTGGGACTGTTTTTTTGAGCTCTAGAAGTTCGAAGTTCGAGACTGTTTTTTCAAGCTGCAGAAGTTCAATTCTTGCAGAAGTTCGAGACCTTCTCTCACTTTGGAGCTGCAGAGAGAAGTTCGATTGGCTTGCATAGAAGTTCAAAATTCAGGACTGTTTTTTTGAGCTGTAGATTCTTGCAGAAGTTCGAGACCTTCTCGCTGCAGAAATAAGTTTGATTGGCTTGCACAACTTTCTCTTGCGTAGTAGTGCCCGAGTTCACGGCCGTTTGCTTCGTGGCGTCCCACGCTTGCTGTCCATAGTATCATCAAGGGAGCCTTGTCTTGCGCAAATTGCATGTAGGTGGCGGCCTGCTCCATCTGATCCCAAGCATATGTTGCGTTGTCTTGAATGGTCGCTATCCCAGACAGGACGGCCTGCGCCTGCTCTGTGTTCTCAGCAGCAACTTTCCTCGCATCAGATTGAGTATCCATCTTCATCGCACGGCGGAGAGTAATCTGCTGTAAGTACTCTGAGGTGTTGTATCGAGCCGTATACGTGCTGGAAGGAAGTTATTTGTGATATTCTCTCTAAATGTTTGATTTATCAAGTGGGAGAGGCGAATTGAGCCGTATGCGTGCTGGAAGGAAGTTGTACTTGTGATATTCTCTCTAAATGTTTGATTTATTGAGTGGGAGAGGCGAATTGAGCCGAGTTGCCATGAGACTTTGAGAAGAGACTATGAGAAGGTCGAGCCAGAAGGGAAGCACGTGCAGACCGTTTTTTCAGGTAGCAAGGAATCAGCCGCCATCCCTTGCGATTAGGGTTCACTTAGGCAGACGACGAGCGGCCGCCACCCCCGCGGTTAGGGTTCAGTTAGGGCATCGACAAGCGGCCGCCATCCCCCGCAGTAGTTCCATCGCGTGTAGGGCCCAAGCGGCGGGCAACGCCCTACGCGGACCAAAGCGAGATCGAAGGACATGCTCCAGGTGTACCTCCAACCCATGACCTCCGGCTTGTGAACCTGAAGCTCTAACCAACTGAGCTACGACTATAGACATACCTCACAGATCTCCTTATCCATAAGACTCGCGAGACTGAAGGAAGTAGACTGTGTGGAGTTTCCTGCGCAGTCAAAGTCGGACGTGATGAGCATCTAGTTGAACGTGGTACACGGCCGCATGATTAGGGTTTTGCACAGTTCAGTTGGACGTGATAGGGGTGAGCACAACACGGTTCGGGGTCAGACGTGGTTGTAATCGACGGAGATCACTGTGAACGTGGTCGTGAGCAAACGTGGTAAGTTGTGGTCGTAGTTGCAGTTGAGCTGAACGTGGTCAAAGGAGGCATTCCTCTCACCCCCGAGGCGGCCCATCCACGAAAGATGGGATCTCCTTTACCTCCGCCCCCCCTCCCCCCTTGTAGCATGACGTGGTGTTAGTATTCCTCCGGTAAACACTTAGTTTCCACTAAATATCCCCCGAAGTAAACCACTCCGTGTTCGTTCCCACAAAGATCTATAGTTTTCCTCCTTTAGACAATAATTGTAATTCATGATCCGGTTTCTCAATTGCATAAATCAAAACGGAATACAAAAACAAGGCCCATGCCTTGAGAAAACCCCTAGCTTAAATACTATCACATACAAGTGATCAACTAATATTCCATCAATTCCGGACTGGTGGCCGCCGCTAACTTTCCGTATTAGAAGCTGGGTGCAACTAAGCCCCATTTTTAATCGCTGCCATTCTATCCAGTACCTTACCTAGTCCTAGAATTATTCAAACCGTGGGCTACGCATGACATCAGGAAATCCTATTGGAGCCTGCTCATCTGGTCCTTTGTGAACACAAGATGCTCCTCCTCCGGTCGGTACTCGTAACCGCATCAGGTTTCCAAGGTGAACTGCCTCTAGTCGGAAAAAAAATGTATGTAAGGAAAATCGGCAAAATAGATTTGTAACTTAGGGAAAAAGATTGGCTTTGAGGGTCGAGTTTGGGGTTCTGCTTTTAGTCCTCGGCGGGTTGTCGGTGGTGTGACTGAGCTGCTTGCGCGGTGAGGGAGCAGACGGCATGAAGGCTCGATGCTTCCACATGGGTGCCTTTTATGTGCAAGATACTCCAGCTGATAATGAACACGTACCTCTCGACAAAGAGGTCGTCTACACTCTTTACAGTTTTGTACCTCCAGATCTCAAGTAGATCATCGAGCACATGGCCCAGTTCATAGAGATTAAGGTGCACACTTCTGAGCCCTTCTTACTCCAGCCCGACATCATAAAACTCACTCACATCAAACAGTTCATGGCAACACACGTCACTAACACCTTGCTGGTCCTTGACCCCATGCAGGCATCGTATGCTGATGCCGAAAGGGCAGTCCACAAAGGAAGAGGTCTATCCTCCAACGACAGAGTATTCCCTCCTTCCGTCGACTGAGGTCTCAAGTTCCTTCGTAAGTGCATGAGTATTCACTTAGGAAAGGTGTTAAAGTTTAGTGCAAGGATACTGATAGCGAGAACAAGTCGTGATACTAACAATGATCACATGGCTAAAGATGGCCCGGAAGAAGCTGCTTCTCACTACCCCGCAAGGACTTCAAAGCTAGCAAGAGATTCTGCAACAATTTTACCCCTCTGGATATGCTGGCTACATGGAAGGCCATGAAAAGAACTTCCATGTGAAACAAAGATGGTAGGTATGCAGTAGCCTTTTCCACATTGATGTCAACCAATTTACTTTTAGCCTTATTAACAAGAGCATCAACAAAATTCTTCCAAAGCATAAATATCAAAGGATCATCTATCTATTCTCGAGTTCTCCCTGACCGGTTTAGGAGGAGCGCTCATAAACTGAAGTCTACTTCTTGATGTGTGACTTGAAGAGTTGCATTGTAAAGATCATCTAACTTCTTCGCAGACGAGCTAGTTTGAGCGTTTCCTTCAGATATCATGGAATGGCTGCCCAATTCTGAGCAAAGATCACCAAACATGGCATCATCCTTGCTGGCCACAGTTACAGAGTCTACGGAGCCAACTGCAGATTCTTCTTTGCTGTGAACTGATGATGCCGTCTCCACAGCTAAACCCTCCTTAAGTCCTTATGCATGGAGAAGAGCAGTAGCTGCTACCAGGTTATCAAGCCAGAGACCGTCTTCGGAGAATAAGACTTGCAAATGAGAATCCTTGCTTTGTACTTCATTCAAGCTAAAAGTTTGGTTACGAAACTTACAAGAGCGGACGGATGTTGAGCTTAATCGCCAACTCTCGCTCTTCTCTCTCAAAGATCCATGATCTTTGACTTTGGACATCAATTGTGAAGAGTGATAGTGAACATCTTGCAACAATTCAAGTAGGCAACTGATCACTTACGGCATGCAAACCAAAAGGAAAGGCTGCCTTGCCAAGAGCTCCTCGTATCTTCCTTTCGCCCCGCTTAGCAAGTCCAACAAGGAAGTAGCGAGGTATGTTATCAGATTCAGAAAAAAGTTTATAATCCGGGAGCACGAAGCTCAAAAGTTGAATCAACTCATCTATAAGTGTAGAGAGTGAGCATCCCACATTAGTGTCCACAAGATAATCATGCTCTATGCTGCCACAATCATACGTACGCTCAAACAGTACAGGCGTTGCGGCGGCTAGCTCTACAATGTCTTTGAGTACCGCTTTCTCAAATTGGAAGTTTGTACAAGCCTTCGACAGGTCAAGTGAGAGCTTCACGATGCTAAACAGCAGTCTCACCCTTCTTTGCAGTTCTTGTACGTCTTCCTCGGACTCCACTTTCTGACATGAGGCCAGTACCGCATGGCATAAAGATCGTAAACGAGTCATGCATTTCACATGAACCAGTGCAAATTGTTGAGTAGCAGTCACGATGATGACACAAAGCTTCAGAAGGACATCTACTCGAGCTGCATACGAACCCCTACTGGTAAGTTTGTGAACCACAAGCTACTCGCTAGCCAAGATGCTTAGAATATTCTTTGATGCTCCAATCTCTAGAGTAGTGCAACCTCCTGCTTTCTCTAAAGCTCAATTTGCACCCTGATGGGCGTCCCCGTCCAACCTAATCGGCAAGTCAAACGTTAGAATTTCTCAGACCACGCCTCCCAGAGACATGAGTGAGGAAGTCCCACGATCTCTCGCCTTTATTCGACAAGGGCTATTTCAAAAAGTAACAACAGCTTTTGTTGCATCTCCTCAACCAGAAGTATGGCACTTGTGCCACACTTCGAGAGTCAACTCTCAAAGCTCAGAATGCACAATTGCACGGCAAGCCCATAGATCTGCTCCACAACCTCTCTTGTCCCCGCCCCCTGTGCTAGCAAACTTTCGCCTTCGCTTGCTTGCCCTTACCATCACCACAACCACCACAACGACGTACGGATGCTGCTGCTCGTCCTCAAGATCGAATCACCTCTTCTTGCCTCGTCATCTCACTCTGCCTTCATCGTCCATCGTGCACTCGTTCCCAGATCTTGCCTCTTCCGGCCTCCCTCACACTTCAAATCGGTCATTCGCGCAGCGCAATCCGCCACCAACAGCTTGGAACAAAACCTCCCCCCTCCTTGTAATCTGAGAATTTCTCTCGCAACCTAACAAAATCCCCTCCGCCCCGACCGATCCATCAAGTTCTTGGATCACTCACGCCCGCCCGCGTCGAGCCTAGTCGATTAGATTCGAGATTAAAATCGAGTCGAGATTAATCATACACCTGCGTCAAGCCTCCTAACCCACCACCACCAACAGCAGCTCCACGCAACAGAAGGAGCTGCAGCACCAGCAATGCAATGCAAAGCTCAGCCCTCGCCTCATCCTCTGCTATCTCGGTGTCTTGCGAATCGCGTGTCACGCCGGTAACAACTGCACACGCGATCTCACACAGTCCCTCAACCTTCTTATCTAGTAGTTACTACATCCTAACCTACAAACTTACTTATTTTATTACGGAAACTTCATTTTTTTAAAATTTTTGGGCCAGAAATACTTGTTCGTCCGGTTCCAAGTGGAATTCACTTTCCACACCCCCCTCACCAAGCGACCTTCGAGGCTGGGCCCGGAGCGGCCTCTCCCGTGAGGCTCTTCCTACCTCTCCCCTAGGCAGGGTCGGAGCCGTGTATTTTTGAGCGGCAGGGCTGCAACAGTTCACGTCGCGGGTGACAGATATTTTCAGTCACGTACGACGGTAGTCGCGGGTGACGGACGTTGTAAGTTGCAAGTGACGGTTGTCACAGGCAACGGTGATCAAGGGTAATCACACTGTATCGTGGGCGAAGATGATCGGCAAAGGAATTAACGCACATGCGGACAGTTCCAACCAGATCAGTTTTTTTTGCCCTCAATATTCTAATTCTTGAAAGATTCCGTCATGTTTGGAGAATATTCCGTTTGTTCATATTTTGTTCCAACCACTCTTTGCCGGCATATAGGCAAATTTGATATCATTGGAAAGCTCTTGACGCGACTAGTGCATCTTGATCATTTTCATCAGCTGAAAATGTACTTTAATGACGAAATTGACTCGGCAGCAGACGGTGTCTCTAGTCTTCGTCGAATTGAGATGGCATCGAAACAAGTTGGAGGAACAGTATACAACATTCTTCCTCTTGATGGCCGATCTAATTACCTACTTTGAGAAAAGCAAGAGAAAGGCAAGCTGGGATCTATGGGTCTCGCTAATGTACTTAGAAAGAAACCAATTGTACATTTCCGACATTGACTGGAGGGATTTACAGGAGCAATGAGTCTATATTGTGATGGGGTATCTCGATCTTTCGGTTATGAAGCAAGTTGAGGAGTAATCTGAGGTTATCAAGCTTTTTGATGCCATACAGAGATGGTTTCATCAGAAGGAAATCTCACATGTGATTAACACTTACATGAGATTATTGAACTTCAAGATGAGGCCACTATCAAGATTTCACATTCACTCCTACGGAGATTTGTTGGTAGATCTTCAAAGTATGGAAAAGGAGCTTTCTTACATTAAGAAAGCTATGCATCTACTCTATTTATTGGCTCCCTCCTACGAGACACTATTGAAGATTCTACTTCATCATGATAACAAGGCTGTAACTTACAACGAGGTTGTAACTGCTCTCTTGGAGTACGAGGTGAAACAGGAGATGTTGTCATTCTCTCGGTCACTCACTTTAAATATTGCACTTACTGTGCTCCGGGGTGAGTTGCAACCATCGGGTCACGACAATTTGCAGCCTAAAGGGTTCAAGCGGCAGAGATCCAGATCCCCTGAGCGCAGGAGAGTTCAGTTTTGGATTCCATCCTCTAACAAGAAGAACTTGAAGAACTTGGTGTGTTAGAGATGTGGCAAGAATGACCACATCAAGAAGGACTGTCGGATGACAATAACAGATGCAAATCTTCCTTAAGTGGCGAATGTTGCGGAGCATCTTCATTCCGAGGAGGAATACGTGTTTGCCGATGGTCTATGATGCCAGAGGTATGACCTCTGTAGTTCACCAACAGTTGTTGCTGATGTATGGATTTTAGATATTGCTTGTTCTTATCACATTTGTTACATTACACAGTTCTTCTATACTTTCTCATGATCAAACAGGTATGTTCTTATGGAGAATGACCAGCCTTGTAAGATTGAGGGTGTAGGATTTGTAAAAATCTCCATGTTTGATAGTGTCAACCAAACACTAACACACGTTAGGTTTATACATAATATGAGAAAAAACTTGATCTTCCTTGGAGTGTTAGACTCACACGGCTTGGCGTAAAGCTCTAGACATGGCGTGTTAGATGTCAAATCCAGTGATAAGAAGTTTATACTTAAGGTATACAAGCACAATAATCTGTACTTTTGGCATCACAATTTGTGGAGAAGCCAACTTTACAAGATCTTGCGGAGAGATGTTTCAATTATGGCAGTGTTACCAAGTTTGGGTATACTTGACTTTGCATTTTGTGAACACTGCATCATGGAAAACATCATAGGCGAGCTTTTAGTGTTGGAACTCATAATTCCACGAAGATACTGGAGTATGTACATAGTGACGTGTGGGGCTCATCTCCTACTGCCTCACTCTTAGTAAAGCTCTACTATGTTTCTTTTATAGATGATTACTCCGGGTATGTGTGGGTATATTTTTTTACCCACAAGTCTGAGATCTTTTCTACCATCAAGACTCAGACTAGCAAAAGGGTAAAATATTTACGATTAGATAATGGCGAGTTTCAGAGGTATTGTACAGAGGAGATAATAACTCGTCACTTCACAATAGTTTACACTCCCCAACAAAACGCTGTTTCTTAGAGACTCAACAGAATAGTGTTGGAGAAGGTGCGGAATATGCTAAGTGAATATGGTTTATCAGGAGAGTTTTGGGCCAAAGCCATCAACACTCCAGTCTATTTGGTAAACCTTCTCCTTTGAGTGCAATACAATTTTTCACACCGTTTGAACTCAAGCATAAACAGATGGCGAATTACAATCGCTTGAAGGTTTTTGGTTGTACAGCTTATCCTCTTACATCAAAGGAGCACAGAACTAAATTAGATCTTACGTCCAAGAAATGTCGTTTTCTTGGATATGCTAGTGGAGTGAAAGATTACAGGCTATGGGATCCACTAGCCCATAAGGTGATTGTCAGTTGGGATGTTTCAATGAGCTTGGCTTATTGAAAGAGGGGAGAATTTCAAGACTCTTCGTACTGACAAGGGGAAATCTTCAGTCACGGATATCATTGTGGGAGAGTTTGATCATTATATCACTAACGATCTGTCACAAGAAGGAGCACCGATGCATCAAGAGCAAGACGAACATGAGCAAAGTATCATTGAAGAGCCTATTGCAATAGTTTCAAAGAATAGGGATCAACTGTAAACGTCTACTAGGAGATCGCATCGTACTAGTAGGGCTCCTGAAAGGTTTGATGAATGAACACATCCATCCATTTTAGAAGATTGTGACTTTGATGTTGAAGATAGGGATGACATGGCCTTGTTTTTGGAAGAAGTTGAACCTTCTTCATACATGGAAGCTCAAACTTCAATCAACAAGCTTGAGTGGATACTTGTCATGGAGTGAGAGATGGAATCCCTGATTGACAATAAGACTTGGGAGATGGTTGAGCATCTTAAGCATCAAACGTTGATTGACTCCAAGTGGGTGTATAAGCTGAAAGACAATCCAGGAGGAGACGAGGCGAGAATCTTCAAAGGTAGATTGATGCCTAGAGATTTCATCCAAGAGAAGGGCGTGGACTACAATGAAGTTTTCTCACCTGTAGTTAAGTTTGCTACAATTCATCTGGTATGTGCACTGGCTGCGATATTTGATCTTGTTATGGATTAGATGGATGTGAATACAGCTTTTCTTTATGAATATTTAGAGAATGAGATCTACATGAAATAACCTGTTGGTTTTGAAGTTAAAGGCAAAGAGAGGTTGATTTGTAGATTGTTGAAATCATTATATGAATTGAAGCAAGCTCCTAGGCAGTGAAACACGCGATATGATGAGTTCATGAAGAATCAAAGTTTTTTTGGAGCGTGTATAATCCGTGTGTCTACATGAAGAAAGTAAATGATGAGACGTTCATTCTCATCATTTTAGTAGTTTACGTTGACGACATGCTCATATTGGCGAAAAACCAATGCGATGTTGATAAATACAAGAGTAAGTTGAAGTCTGCATCTAAGATGAAGAATATGGGGGAGTCAAAGAGAATATTAGGCATGGAAATTCATAGAGATCATGAACAAAAGGGACTATGATTGAGTCAAGGTAAATATGTTCGTCGTATACTTGATAGGTTCAACATGATTGATTCCAAAGGAGAATGGAAGGAGTATGGCACATTTCAAACTCTCTGCAACTCAATGTCCTATCAATGTTGTAGAGAAAGAAAATATATCATGTGTTTCTTATGAGCAAGCCGTAGGCAGCCTCATGTATTTGATGGTGTGCACTAGGCCAGACATTGCTTTTGCGATGGGCAAGGTGAGAAGATACATGTCAAATCCAGGGAAAGTTCACTAGGAAGCAGTGGAATGGATTATGAGATATTTGAAGAGTACTTTGAATTGTGGCTTATTGTTTGATAGTCTATTAAACAATGCAAAATCCTTGTTTGGTTACGTTGATGGTGACTACGGATAGGATCTAGATAAAAGGAAATCCACAACTAGGTATGTGTCTACACTTGGCGGTGGAAGCATTAGTTAGAGGTCTACCTTGCAAAAATGCGTAGCTCAGTCAACAACGGAAGCTGAATATGTGGCAGCAGCAAAATCGGCAAAGGAAGTTATTTGGTTGGATAAGCTTATCATGGAAATAGGATTGAAGCATGGCGTGGTTAATCTTCATTGTGATAGCCAGAGCGCTTTACATTTGGCTGCGAACCAGGTCATCGATAGCAGAGTGAAGCACATCAACATCATGTATCATTTTATCAGACAAGCAGTGCTTGATAAAACGATTGAGTTGGTCAATTCAATTGATGCTTTGATCAAAGTTTGACTTCTTCCATTGGAGAGTTTCAGACGACACTATGCTACCATGCAAGTTGTGCATGGGTATCCCATGTAGAATTTGCTAGCATAGTAACTTTAGTTATATCTTTATTTATTTACTCTATCCTGAGATGGCTATGGTTTAGCTCTAGTTAACTCTTGTGTAAGGAGTTAACTTGTAGTAAGTTTCAATCTAAAACTTCTCGCGAAGTAATTATATAGACTACGAGATCTTTGATCCCTCTATGCAAGCAAGTTTTATATTTAACTCTTTATGTTATTACTCTATCTTGTTATGGCTACGATCTAGTTCTAGTTAACTCTTGTGTAAGGAGTGGTCTTGTGTTAGGTTTTTGTCTAGAATTTCGCGTTGAATAATAATATAGGTTACAGAGGTTAATATTTCCTTGACACGAGTTCAGAGGCAAATTGTTGAAGTTAACTCCGGTTAAGGAGTAATCTCTGATTATAGCTATTTATAGCAAAGTATGTTATATATATAACCCCAAGGCCAAGGTTTCGATGAGAAGAAGTATTGTATATTCACTGGTTAATAAACCCTCTAGCGTGTTTCAACCGTGGACGTAGTACTTAAGAGTGAACCACCTTATATGTGATTTGTACTTGGTTTTAGGTTTTACGTTAAGATTTCAGTCATTAGACGAATGACACTATAAGGTCCATATGTTAAAAGTTGAACTTTGCGATTATACTTTTTCTAATGAACTTCAAAGATACCATGGTGTCAACAATCGCGTTAAAAAATTCATTGCCATCTCCAAGATCTAAAAGCCTCGTACAGCTTCATGGAAGCGTAAAAGGACTCTTGAGTACGAATTGAATATGCACAAGTGACAATTTAAACGTTGATGTCCAATGCAGATGCATCAAATAATTCAATGACCACGGTGAACCTTTCGCTACGTTGCACTACACATACTTTTTGTTCTTGTTTGATAGAGTAACTCAATGAGATATAAATACTATGATTGCAATCGGATTTTTGAAATAATCAAAAATATAAACGAGATGTTCATATTTTGCTCATGATCCCTTTAATAATGCCTAAGCTATGAGGTTAAAACCATGTACTCAGGTTTCTTTGCTCCAATTAAGTCACTCAGAAATTGTAAAGTGTACTATAGAGGATTCAAGGAAGTATGATAACACTCGTACCTAAAAGACATGAATATACCCAGTACCAATTCCCACCACACTCACATGAACACCAACTAACCCTAACACCATTTGTGCTGATCAAAATTTCATACCCACAAAACCGATTTTGCTGCCAAAACTTTGACATGGCTTTTACCTCACGGAAGTGGCAGTGAGCTTCTTATGTAGCTGTTGACACCATGATATATTTGGAATCCATTAGAAAGACTCGAAATTCAACTTTTACCACAAGGACATTATATCCCCATCCGCCACCGTGACTGAATTCAATATACTAGGGTGAGAATTAAGTAGCACCCCGTGAGGGATAACTAGCCCCTCCCTTCATCTCATCTCTACTAATTAACACATATCATAACTAAGCAATTACGGACTTGTTCGCATCTAACATCTTCCGCATTCGTTTTACTTGCTCGTCTCCCAAACTCCGAAGCAGTTGGTAATTATTTCCTCCTGGGCCACTCGAGCATCGAGCAGGTTTCGGTCACTCAATTAGAAGCTCAATTCGGACGACTGTGTTAGTCCTGTAACACAGTTCACCTCATAATGAATCTTGCACATTGAACGAAAGTGAAAAGAGTCCTACAGTGAGGCGTATACAGTTCAAACTCCAGGACAGCGTAACTAGGGCATACAAGGTCAGATTTCACAAATGAAAGTATTCAAGATTCCGGCTTTATAACTAAACCATGACATCAAAATTATAATTGCATACTATGCAGCATCACGTTCGTGGGTGGGGAGGTTGAGGAATCAGACCCGAGGAGCCTATGAGTGGAAGAGTTGGACGAGGTAGCTGGCCCATTGGTATGTCTGAAAACTGAAGCCTGATGTGAGTGTTAAAACTTGCTGGACTCATGCCTTTCATCTCCTTGCATCACATACGAGCTACTCGCACTGCAACATCTGGTGCTACCGGATGAACCAGTAATGAGGAAGCAAATCTATGCGCTCGAGCAATTTATGAAGAATTCCTAAATGTTCTGGATCTAGTCCAGAGCTTCGCCCGGCTCAACTCCTCAACGTACGGTCACGTACCGATTATTGCACAAAAAAGGTGGAAGCTCACAACTCACGTGATTTTTAAATGACGATGGAGAACCCCCACTGTCGAAGAAGAATTCATTTAGAACTGGACCGTATCTTCGAAACACTACCGCATGAACTCTTCCCAGGGAAAGAAACATCATCCAAATGACTGTGTCCTCAGTGAACGGGCACTGTAAATGTTTGAGGAGGCCCTGGTATTACAGAGTTGGAGAGTGATCGAGGACTCCCACTTGCAATGATGCTTCAGATTCCAGAGCACCGATCAGGAACTGGTCTGTCTATCAACCTTACGAAAAGTTTTAACCGAGTGTTGACTTCGTGTATAGATCGGAACGGGCACAATTCCCGAGAAAACGCAACGATTCCAACTCTCCCTCCTGAAGGCAGCGTGCCCCCATCCGCACAATTGACCATCGGGCACCATCCTCAAGTTGACCCGGCGAGACTCATCTCATCTCTCGGTCCCAAGAACCCCTTTGCTCCACGATCCGTCGCAGAAAAACGTCCTCCTGTACCCGCGCCAAAAGCCCCTCCGTTTGACCAGATTTCACCTCCGGCGTCCCCGCGCCAGTAGCCGCGTTGAATCCTGGGGGATTCGAGTTCCCATTCGCGACTAGGATTCTATTGCAAATTTCAAATTTATTGTAGCTCGACGGTGGGATCGGACTGAACCATGGCCGGATGTCCATCCGGCGGCGTGCACGTAGCGGCAGCTAAGACGGATTTACGAACGTGCATGCGGCGTCCTCCGTCTTCTCTGACGGAGCGATGTAGCTCGCCCGCTGGCCCGCTGGTGCTGATGGGCGTTACAAAAATCGGGTGCCGCCTTGCGGGAACGCTGATGTGACGCGGCCCCCCGTGCGGTGGCCGCGGGTGCTTCGAGAAGATTTAATTGACAGAAATCGATGGTACTCGGTTCCATTCTCGGGGCACTCTCGGCCTCGTCGTGCTGCTGCCATGCTCCGCTCCAAGAGGTGCGAGGATCGATGGACGACGAGGATATCACTCAAAGCATGTGAAAGGGAAATTGGTTCAGGATTCTCAGGAACGTGCGGTGCTGTTTCTGGCACCGTCTCGGACATTGATATGAACACCCGCACGACATTGATATGAACACCCGCACGACGTTTCCGATGCCAAAGGTCTCGCTCGGGGTACGACCAATATTCGTGCTCTCCGTGCTAGGGTGCTCGATAAGTTCACCGAGATTTTCTTTCGGTCGATTGGATTGATCGCTCGATCGCGGAGTGATTGCAGCAGAAGATCGATCGTCGAGTTCCTCCTTGCGGCGTAGGTGTGCTGCATGGCGTGTGCAGGAGGCATGGTCTACGTCGTTCACTCATAGCTTGCATTTGGAGTACGTCGCCACGTGAAGATGGCCCGGGGCGACGATGAGGCCCAGTCTCCTTTGAGGGGGACACACGGGAGCTCCACGCACTACCGTGCGGCCCGCATGATCGCGCAAAATGCGGGTGAGTCTCATGAGAAGAGGAAACACAAGAGCAGGAAGGAAAAGGATTCCAAAAAACGAAAAGCAGAAAAGGCCTTGGGGGTCTGCCAGCACGTACCGGCCATTTACGGCAGTTTCGTCGATGTGCTTTTCGACCACGCCGTCGGCAATCAGGTCCTGGGGCCCACGAAGAATCCGTGCCCCGCCTTCTTCCGCAGCCCCGTCCGGGGAGATGTCTGGAGCGCTGAAAACTGGGGTCACTATCCGACGTTCGAAAAAGATCCAATCACTCGGGTCCCTGCCGCAGAGCGCCTGGTGGCCGTGGGCGACCTGCACGGCGATTTCCAAAAAACGGAGGAAGTATTGAAATTGGCCAATGTCTTGAGCGACACCGGCAACAAATGGTGTGGCGGAAAAACCGTTCTCGTCCAGGTTCTCACAGTCCCGCACCATCTTGCTTCACGAGTGTGACGGCTAGGTTCCTCCGATTCTGCTTCCATGTCTGAGCAAACCACCGTATGTTTAGAGTCATCATTCATAAATTTGGAATACATGTCTTTGGGCAGGTCGGAGACATCATCGACAGGGGCGGAGGGGAGCTGAAAATCTACCATCTTTTCGAGAAGCTGAGACGAGAAGCACCGAGACACGGAGGTGCTGTTTATTGCATCCACGGGAATCATGAGGTGTTGAATATGACTGGGAGTTTTCGCTATGCGAGAAAAGAATCTATAGAGGAGTTCAGCAACTTTCATACCTGGTAGGACGAACGTATTCTCTGTCCCCTCTAGAACTACGACGATGATGATATGTTAAAATCCCGTCTTGTACTCCCTACCTTACCGTACCATACGCGCCGAGGAGTAGAGCTAAAAGCATCGTACCCGCTGGTTTCCAATAGGACGGGGACTGTCATGGAGTATATAACATGTATCGCACCTGAAGGATGTGTCGGTCCTCTCTGAGCTTTCCTTACAGCGCCTACAGCAGCTGCAGTGTCTTTGCGCTTGGTCATTCAAGTAGAAGCGAAACATGTCTATGGGCTTGCGATATGTCTGTCCATAGCTTAAAAATTGAACTCTTAGTTCAATACTTAGAACTAAACGTTCAACAGGCGACCATATATGGCGACGAATGGTTGTATCTTTAATCCAAAGCTAGCTACCTATACTTTACCTTGATATAGCGAAATATTTTTAAATGATTTAGTTGAGAAAAGGACCTAGAATTCACGGCTAGCTAGCTACCTATACTTTACCTTGATACAGTATAGCGAAATATTTTAAAACGACTTAGTTGAGAATTAGACCTAGTATTCACCGGTAGCGGCTAGTTATTCCTTAGTGTAGGCTAATTATCATTCACATTACTATACTCTCTTTTGTAGAGTATAGTAGATTGGTCATAGGTTAGATGCAGGTACGGTACATGTTATATACTGTCCCTTTAATACGGGACAGTATATAGTTTTCGCGTGGGGGAGTAGAAGAATCATGGAAGTACTGCAGATTCATGGAATGGACAGGTCGATTCCTTTGGTTGTTCTTTGGAATTGGAGTATTCGCACGAACATTGGATCTCTCCAGTTGTAAAGAGATACTTCAAGTATCCAACTAATTACTCCGTGTAATTAGTTATAGGATGACATCCAAAGTAATGTCATCGTATAAAGCTTTCGCCATCTCGTTGTTAATCGACCATACTTACAATTGACTCGGACATTTAGATAAGCAATTGCTGAAAAGATCCTCGCAAACAGCAACTTTCACAATTCACTTTGCAAACCATAGGCATGATCTGAACCAAGGAAGCCCTGTAACAAAAACCGGGGTATCTTTAGTTTACAAGAAAAAAAAAAACATCATGAAAAAGATGTGCTCGAGGGTTTAATGTATTCAAGTGCATGTTCAAAAGTCACTAAAATGTTTGTTTTCAAATTTAGGAAAATTCTTCAGGTTCATGGATTCTTCAGGCTCCCAGGCTAAATATCAAGGCGTGCAACATGCACGCCTTGATATTTAGCACAGGGAATGAAGTTCGTAGGGACATGTAGCCAGAGAGGGATGTAAAATGAAGTAGATAATAACCGAGAAGAATCACTTGACTACAATGGAGGCAAATTTCCCTTGTACTTTAGTCCTTAAATTTAGGTGTGAATGTAGCTTGTTGATCGTTTGAAATTACTTAGTGTTTCGCTGAATCAATTAAATTTTATATTTCATGACGTGGTATTAGAGCCCACAAAGAAATATTGAGACATCTTAGTTGTAAAGGAGATCATAGTCTAGGATGAAGTTAAGATAGCATAGTATGTAATAGGAGTCCAAGTGCTCTTATGGGAGAGTGTATGTTGCGACTTACCATTTCAACAACAAAACACAAGTCGAGGTGAGTATTGCACAAAAATATCAATTTTCCAACAATAGGCCGAAACATTCATACATGCGATTCATGTGTCAGCTTCCAGGACATGGAAGACGGAGAGTGAAATTGATTGAAGCATCAAGGGATTAATCTTACACTCGTTTAGAAGTCTGTGGAGACAAGTCCTAGGTCCTTCATGTGGTATAGTTGGTGTAGTTGTGTCTTGATTTTTAACGGGACAGTTTTCTAGGAGTTGTATCTCATCAACATAGAAAATTAACACAATGATGGTCTTACCTTCTCTAACAAAAGAGAGGTTGGAATCAGACTTGCTTTGAGTTCAACCAATCGATTAGATATGCGAGTTCATCTCCTCATGCCAATGTCTCATAGACTGTTTTGAGATTATAGATCGATCTGTTGAGAAAGCAAACTAAATATTCTTGGCCTTGCTGCTTGAAACCGGATGGTTGTCTCATGTAGATTTGTTCTTGCAACTTTTCATTGAAGAAAATAATTATTACTTCTCTATGATACAATTTCGATCCAAGAGCTACAGACAATAAAATAAGAGCTCAGAGAGCTGAACACCGTATCACATGAGCAAACTTTTTGTTACAATGAGTACCATGCTTTTGTTATAGTACTCAACCTACTAGCCACGCTTTCAAACGTAGAGAATTAAAAGTGAAGTCTGATTTGGCCTTGAAAATTTATTTAGACAAGAAAGTTCGCTTAACTTCCAGGAGAGTGACTTATTCCCATTTGAGGTTTGCAATGAAAGACTCAAATTTATTTTGCTTTGTCGCTCTTCACAGAGTATTTGAACTCTTCAGTTTTTAACAGTTGATCATAATTAGACTGTGTCATTTTCACTATGTTGAGGAAGATATGATCCGGTATGTGATACTTATTTCACAAAAAGTGCTAGAGTCTTTACCTTTTACAACTAGGATTGCGTTCTAGCGAAATAAAATTGCTTGAAGGGACGTTGGTGTAGATGACAATGTTGGTGAAAATGACTCAGCAATCGACTTCTTAGTCCATTGGTGTGCAATCGCCTCAGGATGGTCACTCTCTGGGTGCAACAATATGTTAGAGTCCTCATCTTTAGTGTCAAGCCCAATAAAAATGTCCACAAAATCGTGAATATCCTAGAAGTTACCTAGTATATGTTCAAAAAAGTTAACATTCTTTGTCTAAATAATGCCACATGTCACATATCATAGACTTAGAGAATAGATTACAAACACTCAAAGCTATGCTTTTGGTTGCAACTTGGTTCGCTTCTCTTGTGCAATATGCTTGTAGTTAGTGTAACCAACAACACTGAAAAAAACCGTTCAAGAATAATATACGTGCAGCTTCTCTAAAGATGTTTTGAGGTTAAGTACGCTAGTGGCGTATCAATTCAATATATAATTAATCACTTGAATTGGTTCCATCCACAAATGGGGAGGAAACTCGTAAGTGTTAAATATGCAACGAGTAGCCTAAAACAACATATAATTTTTGCATTGGGATCACAATTTTTGCATTCGGATAATCAAGTGTATTTTGAGATACTAGAAAGTCTCAAGACATTGTTGGATTGTGACATGCAATTTTTGCATTGGGAACATAGTTTCACAATTTTTGCATTTGGATAATCAGGTAGATTTTGATGTACTGCCCAGTCTCAAGGTATTGTTCGATTGTGACGTCTATTTTTTGCATTTGGATCATAATTTCACAATTTTTGCATTCCGGTAATCAGGGTGGATTTGGAGGGACTAGAAAGTCTCAAGACGTTGTTGGATTGTGACGTTTAATTTTTGCATTCAAACCATAATTTCACAATTTTTGCATTTAAATAATCAAGGTGGATTTTGAGGTACTACATAGGCTCAAGGTATTGCTCCATTGTGACGTATAATTTTGGCATTCAGATCATAATTTCACAATTTTTGCATTCGGCTAATCAAGGTGGATATCGAGGGACTAGATATTGTCAAGTTAGTGTTCGATTGTGACAGTATTAAAAGCACATATATTAAATTAAGAGTCTCAAGCCACTTAATTAGCATTAGAAGCGGATGTTAGATTGTTACAAAGCGTGTAAATCTATCCATAATTCAGAGTGATTATTCTCAAAATCAGCCATGGAGTATAGAATATCGAGAGAGAGAGAGAGAGAGATCAAGAAGATCATGTCAATTGCTTTGATACCGCTGCGGCGAACAACCATTGGTAGCACCAAGAGAGGCCGAGTGCACCGTCCTCGTTGATGGGACTCCATAATCTTAAAACAAGTACTGAAGCGGATATACTCCGTTACTATCTACTTTTTTTTACAATATTCATTGATTGTAAAGAAGATGGAATCAGATCATTTCTCTCACTTGCTGATGACCAGGTATCTGATGCAAAATGCTTTGAAAAGGATGGTCAAGGGAACCAATCTGGGTTTCGACTACATGAAAGGGATGCCGGCATTCGAGGAAGTTCAGGGTATCGAAAAGATTGAACCTCAGAGTAAGGCTTGGAATGCATTGGTCGGGAGGATGCTTTGCATGAGACCAGGAGGGCCATTCAGTCCGAGGTTTCTGGGTCACTATTCCACGCTTCTCATCGTTGGGAAGTCATTTTTCGTCCATGGCGGTATCCGTGAAGAACATGTTCCCAACGGTATCCAGGATTTGGTCAAGTATAACAAAGAGGTTAGCCAGTGGGTGAAGGGTTTGTGTAAAAAGCACGCTGCCCCCCATTTCGTCACAGATGAACATGGATTCGTATGGAATCGAGACTTCGGACTATTCCAGAATATTCCTTGCCGAAACTTGGCTAAAATACTGGGGAAGTTCCAATGCACGAGGATGATGATCGGGCACACGATTCAAACAGCAGGAATCAATGCTGTATGCAAGGGTGCGGCCATCAGAATCGACGTCGGAATGTCTGAGGGCTGCGGTGGTCGCGAACCACAGGCACTAGAAATACTTGACGACGAACGAGTAAACGTTTTATCGAGGACAGGTTCCAAGCCACTCGACGTTAGGGCTGATACGGAAACACTGAAATATAAAGAACTAAAGTCAAAGTCCCAGGACGATGATGACGATGATGATGATGACGACGACGACGACGACGACGACGATGATGACGACGACGACGATGATGATGACGATGACGACGATGACGGTGTGAAAATAACGCCGTCCAAGTGAGTGTGGATTTCTCTGTTGCTTGGATCTGTGAATAGTTCGGTACTCTTAGTGTAGATGACGGACATCACTGAACACATGTCAGCAATTTTGTTCGAGTACTTAAACAATCCCGCCCCTAAAAAATTTCCCAGTCGTCAGATATATGAGTCTGGACACGTCTAACAGTCCTAACATTCCTTGTGAGCAGCTTCTCGTAGAATTTGCACGGGAAAAGACATTTGCTTACTAATTCTCCAAGCCAACTCCAATCAAATACAAACTTGAGCTCACTCAAATGTCGGTCTCTATCCCACAATTTGCAGGTTGAAGCGGGTAGATACCTCCATGTGTAAAGAATTTATAGACTGTCTATACAGTGATATCATGGGGCATCGGATAAAAGATTAAGAATCTCATTGTCAGTTTCGCTGAACCCTTCATTGCAATAGCAAACAGCCCACTTGCATCAAGATGAAATAATCGAAAAGTTTCAATTTACGGCAAGTAGTAAAATTCTCTGTGTTATGAAAGTTCATTACTATCCCCTATATTCGGGGTCCTTCGCTGACCAACATTGCTCGTCGGCGAAAGTCATGGGGCCGTGCCGAATATGAACGAAAGAGTACTTGGTACTAACAGGAAAACCTAAAAAACGTAGGCTCGCTTGATGTCATAGGACGGATTCATTGAGCCCAGATCCGAGTCTACGTATTTGCACTCTAGGCTTCATGCACTTGGTGTATTTCTATATGTATCCTCCTGTCTTTCGTTGGTCATGTCGTTTCTCGTATCATAGGGTTCACTCTCTGGGCTTTTCGTGGACATGGTATTCCCTTCGTACAACCATTGCTGATCGTATACATAGTGCACACTCACACAGTCCACGGACTATTCTTATTACCATCCGTCGCTTCCTTTCGTTGTCGATGGTATCACTGAGTTGACCACTGATGTAAGCGGAACTCTCGTTCATTCACAGGAGGGCATCGATGATCAACCAAAACCCGGCCGGTGATGCTCCACTACAAGGAAGGTGAGATGTCCGTTCTCTACGTAAGCCAGTTAGTAAAAGTGTCATCAGCTATCGAGAACACCCTTGTTAGACGAACCGATTTTCTCTGTATATGTTTCGACAGGGACTAACAGATCCACGGGGGTTTCCCAAGCACACTGACGTCAAGTGGGCACTCTGACAGGTGTACGATCATGTGATGCGAGGATTGCTGCTATCGATTCACTCGACGGTGTACGCAATCATGAACTAGACAACGACTCTACATCGATCACAGAATCGTGGATGAATATCGGCAACGAAAGGCACAGACGAGTAATGTAAGCCACCATGTTTTGTTTCAAAGGGTGTCGAGAATTCATGGTGGAAAACATGTACTTCAACGATTTTTCTTGCACACCGAATCCAGAATCTTTAAAAAGGAGGTGGAAGAAACACACTTTGGTAGGGATTGGTGCACAGCGACAACGGAAGGTCACCCACATAGATGTGACACCTCACCTCTGAGGAAAAGCTCACAAAAGAGAGACATTCGGGAAGCTCAGCGAGCAGATGCCTTGCGGCAGTAAACTACACAGCCAGGATTGAAAGCCTAAGTCTCTACCGCAGAAGGGGCCGAGAAATGAACTCGATTATCCCACATCAAAATGGCTACCAGCACTTCGACATCACGCACCTCGGCGGCGTCATCATGTTCCCAGCTACACAGGTGTCTGCTCCAAATGGCTCGATTTTGGAAGGCAATGTGCAACAAATACATACATGTGTAACTCCACCAGGAAGGTCCCAGCGAATCACAAACACCGATCACGAGATGCCTGCACAAACTTGTGTTAGAAGCATGTTGGCCAGTAGTAGCACAAGGAAAGAATGAAGTAGAAAACAGGGTTTCGGTAGACAGCGAAATACTTGACGTAGATAACTGTCGGCGAGATGCAAGGCGAGAACAGAAGTTGCAAGTGAGGAAGATGAGAGGACATGGCTGAAACAAATATGTAAGAAAGTGTGAAGCTCTCTTCAGCTGGTTGTGAAGGCGCAATATGTGGCAAAAGAATGTGTTTGCCATATCCAGACAATGGGTTTCAAAGGCATTACAAGCGGAATCAAGTCTGCCTCCTTCAAGCCGAGGAACGATTATGGACACCAACAACATATGAGAAACCATCTGGTGCATGCATCTTGTCACCAAACTTGAGTACTCAACATGTCAAGGACCATATGGAGCTTGTAGACAAGGCCTGAGCTAAGTGCCTTCTCTGATCAGAAACCTTCCAATATCAACCGACTCGTCTTCCAGACTAATGGAGGCCATGATTAGAGCCTGCTTTTCTCCCTCACTGCACCTCTCTGGTAGATATCAAATGCGAAAGGACTGAAGAGCGTGTGATGCAGGCAAGAGAACCCAGTGTCACTTTTTGACCGACACACCCACTATTCACAGAGTGCAAGTAGACGACGGTTATTAAGGGGAGGGGGCGGCTGGCAGGACTGTGAAACACAATAAACGAGATTAAATCTCCTCGCTCCCCTCTCTGGCAGCAAAGTTAACGCCCTTGAATACCTTCAGCGTATGTGCACTTCCCGTGAAAAAAGAGAAACTTGAATTCTATGTCTCGTGAGATCGACTGCCTTTTTACTGAAAAAGAAGTATATATAAAAAGTCATTACTGAAGATTAAATATGATAGAAATTGTGAAACATGCCCAATTAAACACATAAACCACGACAATAAACAATTAGACACAACAATTAAACAATTAAACACACACCACGACACGCAAAGTTGTAAACTGGGAGTTCTTCCACCCAGTAAAGTGAGTCTCCGAAAGAAATAAGGCCGCAGCAAGCAGACTGCTAGAGGAAATTGGACATCCCCTGACACGAACACAGACTGAAAATTGGAAATTCAAACCACTCGCTTGAATAAAGACGAAAACAGAGTATGGGAGCGGTACAGGAAAACACCTTGATTGATTCACTTCCAACCAACAACAACCGGAGATACGGAAACTCTTTCTGTTACATAAATGTGACACATCATTTGTGCCGATGACTAGCTGGAAGTCTCGAGCAACAAGCGTGTTGGGGTGAAACTAAGAGTGAGAGGTCGGGAGCACGTTCATTGAAGAATTTGGAACCTACCCTCACAAAGAGGTCCCCAAAGTGCTCTAAGTCTTGAGGCAATCTGTCAAAACTTTGTCACGCACGAGGGCATCTAGTCCAATTCCCGTAATGATTCCAGTAGGAGCTGGCCCTAACTTCAATTCAGGAGACGGGAATAAATTCGACAGAACTGGGTACAAGCTCATGTACCTGATCGACGGGATATGTGCATCGTGGATTCGGGGGGAATCGGCTTCATGGAAATACTCATTAAACACTACGACTTTCGGAAGAACCGCCTTTGAGCCCACATCCTGGCGATGGGTGGAGTGAGCACAACCGTAAGAGGAATTCGAACAGGAATGAGAGCTTTGTTGCACAGGAACGCGACGGCGAAAGCTCCGCCTTCTTCCAGCACTTTCAGCCCTGCATTGTCCACCTTCTCTGTCACGGTCCCGTCTTTCAGATCTTGCGGGTCCTTGGACGCCGAGGAGACGAGTCCAACTCGCTGCAGCAGATCACTCACGTCGACATTGTTCTTGATGAGCACGTAACATGACGTGTAAGAAACAGCAGACACCGATAAATGTACAACCATCGCTACTCTTCCATACTTTGAGAACAGCTCTTTCAGTCGGGTAGCAGCGCCTGCCATCCTTTTCCTGCTCCAGATCGAACTTGCCCTCCTCTACAAACCTCGCATCACGATCTCCATGGCACGAATCGTCCAGACCGACGACCCTCCACGCGCGCTCCGCCGAATTCCAACCTTCAGCTCGATTCTTTCCTGTCCTCCACGTGACCTCTCACTCTCGAGAGCTGGACCCTCAAATTCCACTCATCCCCGATCCCGACCCCGACCCCTCCTAAGTCAACATCGAGCAACTAAGTCTAAACCCCCACGGCACCAAATCTCTCCTCCCTACGGACCAGAGCCGATCATCCGTCAGTCCTCCTCCTCCACTTCCTGCAAGCAAACGTTCTCTGACTCTAGTGTTCACCTGCGGCAGACGACAGCCATCCTTGCCCCCAAGACAGCGACCCCACGTACAAGGTCACCTCACTAGACTCTGCAGCGCTGTGGAGGCTATTAATGATCATGCACGATTCACGAGCGTCAATTTCTCGACCTTCATCCACTTCGGTCTGCGACCTCTTCTGAGAACTGACATGTTTTCACGTCTACGTCTTCACGGTGTCGGATAGTGCACAGTTCTGGGTTTTAGGGTTTCAGTAGCATCACTCTGCTTTCCTCTGACGCACATCATCGGAGTCGAGTCGCCTCCGCACTACGGGCCTTGTACACAATCATCATCATCATTCTGTCCTTATGCTCCCTCCACCTCTCCCAGCCCCTCTACTTCTCATCCGGCATTTTACTGTCGAGCTCGTCGCTTGAAGTCTGTATATAGCGACTCCTGCTCGTCCCTCGCCGATGAAGACCTCCGGCTCCACAAGGCTTCAGATTGGCGGGCCGATTGCATACTGAAATTACCGCACGACATCGAGCAGTCGCAAGTGTCCAGCTTCTGCCCAATCGTGAGGTCGGATTAATGGTACACGACAAGGTCAAAGAGGACTATGTCTCCAGACTCACCCTTTGATCATTTGGTGTGATTGTAGTTCACATGAGGCCAGTTTGACACCAATAGTGCTGAGAATCTTAGTTCAATAACTGGACTCAAGGTCATGCACGAGAGACCGTGGAATCAAAAGCCAAAAGCTCGATGTATATCTCGGTCCAGTTCGAGGGGTGTCTCCAAAACAAGACACTGCTGACCGTTTTCGATACTCTTGTTGTTTATCAAATTACGTTCGATAATCGTTCTCGGGGCACATTACTCTGTATAAGATTCGTCTGATTACAAGTATCATGTCCCAAGTATCCATCTTGTTTACACGATGTACTGTAGATGGTGCCACAAGTCTGAGTTGAGTGAGGCAGATCGAGTTGACGAAAAGTTCTATATTCTTTTCGAAGGTTTGCGATATATTTTTGAGTTGCTAGTAAATACATATGAAAGATATAAAATGGCTATTTGATCTTGAATCGGGTACTTCGCATTGTCGTGCTATTGGGCCCTGGAGACGTCCTTCCCCGTATCCTGACGGGAACTTCACTTGCCGCTGTAACACTCGCTCCTCACGGCAGTCGGCTTCACTCGTTCACGAAGTACCCGCCATGAGGACGTGTGCGTGCACTGAGAGGAAGGCCTACAACAATCAGAAGAGATGGGACACGACGGAAAGTTTGAAGTTTCTACAAGCTTTGATTTGGAGGCCTAGGGCCGGGAACATCTTAAACATCACACTACTTCCTGACCAGGTATGAAATTCTTGGAATCTTCATCAACGGCGTTTTTAGGCCAGTAAGCAAGTGAAAGCAGTTCTTTTACAGAAAAGGTGGTATTCTCCGAACCTTACATGCTCGGTCTGGCGTAGATGTTTCGAGGATCCCAATGCTTGGAGCATGACCTCGATGACACATATAGAATGACCAACATAGAACCATAATCTCGTGGAGATGACACAGCGTGCGAAGACTGTGGCTGCATGCAAACCATAAGGCCAGCAACTCTTCGACAGTAGAAACACCCAATGAACGCGTAAGTTCCACGTGTTCGAATCGATTATAGAAACCTCATTCCATGTGCTCTGTACATCGGCAAAACTATGTAACAGCTGACTCCTGTCCGCGGTGAGCTCACCTTTTTCTCTTACCTCCACCTTTCTTACCACCACCCTTACCTTTCCCCTTACCTTTACCCTTCTTTCCGCCTCCCTTCCTGCCCTTTCCATCACTAAAAACTCTATCTAGAGAACGATCACCACCTCGACGCTTCGTCTCTACAGGTGCTTTGACAAGTGGTTTCACATACAGTACACCCCCTCTGAATTTCCCTTCCGAAGCCTGCAAACCTTTGTCCTCTGTGCTGTCTCTTGGAGGCGGCGGTTTCCTCCTGCTTTTGTTCGGCCGCAAACCTGCCAGCAATTCCTGTATAAACAGAATAACATCCTCAGTATATACCAAGATTTGGAAAGAGAATCGAGAAAAGAGCATTGATTTCTTAAAAGTGCACAACTTCGACGTGATCTCAGTGTCGTCTCTTTGAGAGCTTTGATCTCCACCTTTCTGTTTAACCGGGTACCTGACAGCCCTAAGCAAGTCCTACGAAATGCTGATGAAAAAGCAGATCCACTACATTATGAGTCCATCCACGATCACTCTCCTCTGGGAAAACAGAAAAAAAAAACACAAGAGACTGTCCTCCGAAATCCCTTCTCTCTGAGATTATCCACGCTGGGTGGACGATTCTATAACAGAAGAATCGCTAGAGAAAATTAGTGTTCTACAAAATTTACCTCCACTTTATCCGATTCAGCTTGTTCTCGTTTCCTTTTCACGCTCAGTCCCATCGATATAGGCATCTTCCAGGATTTCTTTGGCTGATGGAAAACCACATCTCAGTTTCAGCGATAATTGAGGAGTAAATGAATGTGTAAAATCTCAGCATGCTTGGCCCTGGCTCACGAAAGTAGTGGGCGCAACTCGCGTTTGAGTTACTCCGTAATTGGGCTAACCATATTCGCGTAACTGATCTAGACATGCTATTCAGAAAGTTAGGAGGTGATCAACCTAAACATGACCTTCTTACAACCAGAGATTGTCTCAAGCTCGACTAACCTCTCGTGCACCAGTCATCGACAAAGGAGGGATGTTATTGATTCTTAGTTAACTTGCTGAAATCTGCTCATATCACACCCAAATCCATGCCGTTACAAACAAGCAAAGCTCTTCGAATAAGAAATAGTGGTGGGACTGTCAAAGACCTTGGCACCAAGAGTTAAAAGCTTCTTCTGCTCCAAGGCTTTGCGCTCTTTCCACTCCAGCTGCGAGGTTCCTGAAGTAAATGAACGAAAGGTAAGAGTCAACCGTTTTCGGGCTCAAGCCATATGATGTTTCCTCTCACAGAAGGCACATATCGGAGTACAACGAGGTTCCATATTATTATTAAGATTCAGATCTCAGAGTGTTTCGAAGGTAGAGAAGTGGCTAATAATCTCTTGATATCGATTACAAACTGTTACAAAAGCCGCGATTGAACGAATGGGCATAACAGGAAATTCGCACCTAATTCCTCGACCTCTTTCAAAATTTTCTTAAATTCACGCCGTTCATCTTCGTCATTTGTACCGAGGTCTCCCTTGATACGTCTTCCAGGCTTTCTCCCGGTCATGTTGACTAGCCGATCTCCGACGGTCCCATCATATATGGGAGCAGACATGATCCCTGACTTAAACCCTGTATCGTCTCTAGCTTTCTCAATGGTTTATCACTACCCGTAGCATGTGCTCTCCTGATGGACACCCTTCCTCTGTAGTATCGTACCAACAAACACCGAAATTGTTATTGCGCTATCAGGAATCTATATCCGTTCGAAAAATGTCATCTCCCTAAAGAATCTCCTCTCGAGACTTCAAATGGAGCCAATATTCAAACAGAATATCAATGGCAGAGGCACGATCAGACCCTCTTTCAAATCTGGTATCCTTGTTCTCATACCAAACTCGTACCTGGTTCACCCTTTAATAACCGTGTTTCTTTCTATGAACTCCTTTCCTTCGATCCTAGACCCACCGAGTACATCAGGCACTCGTCAAGCATTGCGCAGACAGCAAATCAATCCCGCGCTTCATGAAGCACCAACTTCAATTCAACCGTCCATTGTGCTCCCTGCCATTTGTTCCACGTCCCACGCAATGCTCTGCTTCATTTCTTCATAATTCCACTACCAGCGAAGGTAAAACCCTACATAAAACTTGAGGGTCCGTCTTCGCCAGTTGCACAAAATGTCGACTCAAGCAGATCTAATTCTCAGATATCCCAATAGACTGGACGGCATGTAAAATCCGTAGAACAGCAAACGCAATTGGCCGGGTCAGCTGCGGACTCTCCCGAGCTCACTCTTTAAGTGCGCAAACCCTCACACAAATCTGCACACCTTCAATCCAAACCACCGCTCCTTGCTGAAACCCACAACCCTCTCGTAAGGTTCTCCGAACACAACCCCCCACGAATCAGACTCCACGGATTGTCGAGACAAACCACAGTCCACTCCGTCGCGTCGTAAAACCCTAATCTCTGCACACAATTTTCGAGCATCAGAATGCCGCTGCCTATTGCTCGTACGAAGGACGAGCGAGCGAGCGAGCGAGCGAGCCAGAGCAATCGGACTAGCCCCGCCCTGTCGGCCGGACGGACGGACGCGGAGGCGTCAAACATCAGCAGCCGCCGGATTCTGGAAACACCCGCCGGACCGCAATATCGCGTTAAGCCAGAACACGGCATGCTAAACTTGGAATCAATTGACCGTTGGGTTAGGTTAACTTAAGTCAGGACGTCTCCAGGGCCTGGAGTCCAGGCCAGAGACCAGTTATCTCGCTTTATTAGAAATTAGAGGGATAATGTTCATTCTAGCCCGTGATATATTATTTTAATTCCGAATCTTAAGTTAAGAATATCCCCATATCCTTTTTTATCTATGATAAAATATACTTCCGTATTAATACCGGATGTGTATCGAAGGGGGGATCGAAGCACTGCTCCCTCGAGAGGAGAAGTGTGGCGTGTGCAGAAGAGGGCAAGCTTTGGTTGACGGGCATAGATACCCTTCTGAGAAGCTTCTGGGCCAGGTCAGTCTGGTCTCGTCGCTCGACCGATGGGTCTAGCGTAACGCCATTGGCCTATTTGGACTGTTTCCATGGCTGTTCGATGCATTTGCTTGCTCTACAGTGCTTGCGCTGACCACGGTAGTGCATTTCCACGTGTTCAGAACACTCATTCCTAACAATCCACTTGTCTGTCAACTCGAGTTCACTTTCTTCCGTAGTGTATGACTTCTCAGAATCACGTCGCCTGTACTCCCGGTTGTAAATTCACTCAATCTGCATTCACAAGCTCTGATCTCACTCAATCTGCATATTTTTGCAGAATCAGCAGATACTGTCAGATCGGTTTCCAGACAGCAACAAGAGTGTTTGGAAGGTGCAGACTTGAGAATGTAACGACTCGTGCATGCTCGGTCATGAAATTCTATGATTGATTTCATCCTCCATGGTGAACTGATGTGTCCTTGGGATTACATCTCTTATCCTGTTAGCACTAGTTGAAGGCCCTTCTGTGTGAATGCCCATCGAGTTTGCCAGTGTCCATACTTCCTAAGAGTCAGTTACAGAAATATACTCAACCCATAGAGAGACTTTTTAGAAAAGTCACCTCCCTGAGACATCGTGGTTTCAACATGTCCGCCAATGACTGAGGGAGGGGAGATGGATAAATACCACGCCACCCTTCACAGAGAACTTCCATTCGTTTTGTAAAGTTCCTGCATAGGATGTGGGGGGCAGAGAGAGAGTGCAGAAGAGCCCATCTTCGTAAGACTGCTCCTATGCTTAAGATCGAATTGGGAACACGTGTTCATCCCAACATGAGTGTCGGATTTAGGGGTTTGTTATCCAAGTTTCGAACCGAATGCATAAAAGCAGAATGAGGATGAAGAGGCCTCTCGTCCAATAATTAAAAGACGAGAAGGGACATCCGGTCAAATCAAAATAGACGACGGAATTCTGGTCTAACTCAGTCGGTCTTCGGGTGACCGTTGTTTCCCGCCCGCTGACTATGTATTGCCCTCGGTAAGGTGGCAGCTTCCGACTGCGCTGCGCTGTTCCGGCAACTCCCTCGGTCTTCGACAGGCTGACTTCGTCCGGTTCGTTGGCCATCCCTTTGGATGCCATGTACAGTACGGTGCGTACATTATGACTCTCGGCGTGGTGCATATACGAATACGATCTTGCATAAAGTTTCCCCGTGTGCCAGGTGATTCATATAACTAGGCGAAAGACTGACCGGTACGAGAGAATTGCGTCATTTCGATTGACCCTGGACTGTCCTGCAGACAGGAGACCGGGAGTTGTATTTCTTAATCTTTGTACAATGGATATTAAGTTGTCTGCCAATGCCTCCCTTAGGAGTACAAGAGCTTACCGCGTGCACTTTCTTAAATTAAGGTCGTATGGTCATTACGTGAAGTAGTGTAAAAAATATAGACTGAAGCCTGTCAAATAAGAATGATTCTTTGAGGTTGAGTTAATGTGTATTGTGAACAGAGTACAACATGGTGGTGGATAATTAATATGTTTATAATCATTTAGGAGTCATTTTTCATTCTGATTAAAGATGTGCGTTATGATGAAAGATATGTGTGCATAAAGATGAAACATCTCTTCAAGCACATACAAGCAGAAATTTCGATTCACAAGTTGAGTGAAATCATAATGTACGAAATTCTCAGCATCCAAATTCTTTTGCTGTTGAGTTTTTCTCGTCGAACGTAAATATAATTGTCTTATAATTTCACATTCTTGCCAACCAGTGGTTACTTGGTACCTTTATCGTCTTCCGCTCGACGAGACGAACCATCGGACTGAAGAAGCCGGCGTCAAATTCCGTCGGCTCGAAATTCGAATTTCTCATCTCTCTCTCACACACACGAAACGTCACAATTTGAACCTAGTGACACGTACGACCATGAACCTCATCGCTCACCGAGGACATGACACGTAAGCACCACTGGTCACTTTGATTCTTTGGAGTTAGCGAAGAGCGAGGCCAAACGCAAACAACTCCAGGTGGCGCTACTCCATAAATAGCAGAGGATCTGGACAAGCGCCCCGAAACGTCCGCAGGTAATTACCAATGATTATCGAATTATGTTCGATATAGAACCGCAAGCAAGGCAGATAAGGGGGGTGTGACGTGGCGGCGACGACGTCACGACGCCACGCTGACGACTTTGACACAGGAGCAGTTGACGGCACGACCGGCAGTCGGCCGTCGGAACAGGCCTCCGAGGTCCGAGAGGGAAAAAGTGCGCGAAAATGGAGAATCCAATCTCTGCCGTTCACCAAAAATCGGACGGATAAAGTGCGCACGTAGGACAAGACACCGTATTCGTACGAGGATACGATTCGGTGTCGTTCGGTCGGCGCTACCGGAAGCGGGGTCTGCAACGGACGCGCCCCTTTGCTGCGGACTTGGCTGCCGTGGGGCGCATTTGCGGCCACTGCTAGATCGAGCGTTTGAACGGGGCCCGGCCCGGCCCGAGCGATCATGGCAGGGATGTGAAGAGGAAGAGGAGGAAGAGGAGGAAGACGGTGGCGTGGTGATCGGGTCTCTGCTTCTCGGGGTCTCGTGGAGTTTGCAGTGTGGGGATCGCAAGTGCGGACGCTTTATTGCGTGCAGCGGATTGGTGTGCGATTGGGGATGGAAGAATTGAAGGGCAGATGCCGTGTGGACTTAGACGATGAGGACGGATCCCGCGCGGTGGTGCCAGGACTTGGTGTGGGCTTGTAGCGAGGTCGATTTGTGGCGTTGGTCCTCGGCGGGCGGGCGGGCGAGCGAACCGAACCGAACCGAACAGAACAAAACAGAACCGCTTGGAGCGCGGTGGTTTTGGTAGATGCGAGGGCAAGAAGCGACATGGACGGACGATGGGGATGACTTTGGTGATTGAGCGCGATGCCCTTCGTGAATTATGGTCTGCCAGGCGCTCGAAGGGTGGAGGTGATGGGGGCCTCGTCCGCGAGGATCGTTGTTCTTGTGAGAAGGATGTGAACCGATTGAAGTTGGCTGGCTTGTGAGATATGAGTTTGTAGTCGCGTGCAAATTTTCCGAAAGCTTGTTCGGTGGTCACAGCGGGGCCTATTTTTGCGGTCTTTGCCCGAAGAACCGACATCTGCGCCCTCTTCACTAGAGGCATGTTGTTCAGTACATACCAGGAACGTCCAGTTTCTTAGCAGAGGAGTGTTGCCGTAGTTCGGTGTTGTAACATCCAATCTTGGCGCGACGAGAAGGTTTTGTCTTTCTTGAAAGAGTTCTTGCTCACGATAATTCGACGAAATCTGCCAGAGCATAGTCCTCAACACTCAAGAGGGCGAAACTGTACAATAGGCTGGGTCTTAGTGGTAACCCCAACCCGCCACCCATCAACGAGCTTGTTGTTAGAACTTCCCTGCAAACAAGTCGGAGGTTCGCGATGGTGGGGTCACTCATCACCAGATTCGTCATGTAAGTCATCGGCCTATTTGCAGTCTAGAAATTTGTTTTTCATTGCAGTTCAGCTTTTTCGTTGCTCAACACGTCAACCGAATGGCGTTTTGGATTTTAGGTGGCTTGGTTTTGGAAAAGCAGACGTGCTCGAACTAACTATGTAGACCTCTTGAACATTGAAAAACTGAATCGCAACGATCTTGGCAGCTACTCTTGCTTGAGACACATAATCTTCGTTCGTAAGGGTTGATCACTAGCATGTAACAAGCTTTGAACATCCAGTTGGCAAGTCTAGCCACAAGTAGTAGTTTGTTTATCCTAATCTCCTTTGATCCTCTATCGTGCGGGTAAATCTCGCGTTCAAAAGGAACTGCGCATAGGTGTTCTGATGATGGGGTTCCCGTCGTTTCTTAGCGGGCTCACCTTGCAGATTCTTTTTGTCGAAAACTTCTAGTTGTAGGTCAGTCCACTGGAGGGAAGTAGCAACAATGGGAATCGTAGTACGCGGGGAGCGTGTCAGGTGCAGATCGGGCTGCGTCCCTCTTATGTAGGATAGATAACGGCCAACTGTTCATGTCTAAATACTGAACTTCAGAAGTTCCGTTTACAGGCCTTCGAGGTGAATGTGAATTTCACACGAGGAGTATCCCAGGAAGAAATCTAAAGGGTGTTGTCGAGACCATTTAGGGTTTCGAACCGGAGTTTGTTTTGCACGGTTCAAATACTCTACGGAAGTAATCAAGCATGTTCAACCAAATATTATTTTTGTGCAGAATGGTTTTAGGGTATCTGTACCCTGCATACGAATGTTTTAAGAGCGTGGAGAAGAACAGGCCCGACATGGAACATCTTCGCTTTTGGTGCCAGTATTGGTAAGTGCACCGTAACTTCTGCACGCGAGAGTTTCTCATGTAACAAGTAGCCTTTGTGAATGTGTTTTGGGTTTTGTGGGTCCGTGATGGAGTATTTAGTCCATCTCGTCTTGATCTGAGGATAGAGGGAACAGTTACTTTTTCCTACCGTATCCTTTGTTCCTCAATTTGATACTAACTAATTTTAAATTCTCTACGTCAGGATGATCATCGCCCTCGTTACAGTCATGGAGAGACTGGGAGATGCGCTTATATCCTGGTGAGGCCTTGCCCACCGTACTTTATGGTTGTGCTTCATTGGTTTCAACCTTGTGTTGTATCGACATGCGTCAATTTTGAATTTAAGTTTTCAAGTGTAATTTGAAAACCTTTCTTCTCACTTCTTTTGTGATTCCTGGCCTAAAGAAATCTCTGAATGGCGGATACATAAATGTAGAAAAAAGGGACAGTCAACGGTGTTTATTTGTGAGCTCCAATCTACTGCAAACATTGTGTCAGTCACCGCTCCCTCTGTTTTAGCCGACCGTAGGATTTTCTTCCAATATGCTCAGTTTATCAAACCTGTTCGTTGCACGCAGGCTTCCTATGTACAGTGAGGCGAAGCTGTTCTTCATAATATATCTGTGGTATCCCAAGACGAGGGTATGCAACTGAACTCTACATACGTCCTAGTTTTGATGTCATTGATGTATACAGTCAAGTCTGAGGTAGTTCAGTAGAGAGTCCCAAAGACTCTTCTTGCTTCTGGTGACTCATAACAAAGGCTGATGAAGAAATGACTGATATCTCCGGTCGCATAGCCAGCTCTATCATTCTCTTGTGCTAGATTGTCATGAGGCTCACAGGTACGACGATTGCTTGATTAGATTCTCAGCAAACGCTGGTGATCAGACATGAGTATGTTCCATGGACTTATAATTTGTAGTTCTAATTACTCATCGCAATCATTGAGTCCCGAAGTAGCGATGATCATTCACACAAGTCCTTTAATGATTTTTTCGTATAATCCTTCAGGGAACGACGTACATATATGCTACATTTGTAAGGCCTTTTGTAGCGCAGCACGAGTATGAGATTGATCGTAATTTAAACGAATTGAGAACAAGAGCGGGAGATGTGGCTTTTCGTTACTGGCAGCAGGGTTCAACGTATTTTCAATCTCGTTTCGTTGAGCTGCTGCAGTACCTTGCCTCACAATCGCCAAGAGCTCATCCTCAATCAGTATGTTTCTTCCCCTCCTTTTATATTAATACGTCGTCTAATTTCTCGTAGGCCATCGGAAAATACCATAACCAGTTGACCCTCACTTGCTTGCATTCAACCTGAGGCCTTGTTCTCATATGAAGTCTTCTAAAAAACTTGAGCGGACAAATGAAACGCTGGCAACGATAATCGGCAGTACCCCTGTCGTTGTAGACCCGAAGGCTTATGAACTAAGCACAAACACGGATGTGTTCACTTTAAATGCTTTTATTCCTGTTTCTGTAATCACAAAGGCAGTTTCTCCACCAGGACAAGGAAACAAAAGCGGAGGACTTCATCAACCACAAAAGAGGAAGCATTCAAAGCAGCAAAGTTGTCTTCTGACAACCACTTGTAAGCCTAAAGAGGAAAGATCGACTCGATGGTGATGTGAGAAAAACAGCAGTCGACATGTGGTGTTGCAGTTCACGTCACTACGCTAATAACATAATTAACGAACCGAAGCATTAAGAACTGAATCTGTTTCTGTCGCTAGTTGGACGCAGGTTGAGCAGCCTGTCTTATTATAACATAGAGTATCCTCAAAAGTTTGAGATAATAAAGAATGAAAAGCCTTTGACATATGCTGCACTCAACGCGTTCGTGACGGAGTTTTTTTTGTCTTGTGAGCAGAGTGTCCGCTACACGTATCCGCCATCTCCAAATCCTTCGGCGATGGGACCGAAGCCACCTGGGCCGCCTGGCTCTTCGCGGCCTCCACCTGGACCTCCACCTCCACCTTCGTCTGGACCGCCCCCACCTGGACCTCCTCCTGGCATGATGCGATCACGACCTGTTATCCTTGAGGATGATTATGATGTTGTGGACAGTCATGAACCGAGCGTACCTCCTTATCTCCCTGACGAAAATGTCGGACCTGGTGGATACATGACCAGAAGTCGGCAGCGAAACACAGCCAATCGAGTCTGGTGAGAAATTATGTTACGTCTTAGACTTAGTAGGCCAGCAGAAAAATCGGTTGTTTAGTAGATGCAGTAGTTGTAAATCGAGTGGTTTTTCTCACTCTGCAGTAACTTATTTAGAAGGTTCCGTTCACACCAATCCGCAAATCTTTTTTGAGGAAGTGGAGCAGTCAGTATGTTGTTAGAATCTGAGAATGTTTACATATAGTTCGAAACGTGTAGAGAAAGTCTACCAAGTCAAGAAGACTGGTCCCTTTCATCTCTTTATACAGTTGTATTTCAGAATTTTTTCCAAGTTGGAAAGATGATATGCATGCTAAAAGCATCAACTGAATTATGGCTGTACAGTGTCTGAATCCTTCTACGGGTTGAGTGAGTTCTTACAGGAACTTCCATCAATCTTACGTGAGGGGGTTGCTTCAGTCGGAGGGAGAGAGAACTTTAAGGAGAAATGCTAACTTGTCAGCCGCAGTGCTACTTCGGGTCATGATGGTTCGGTTGGCCATCCTTGTTGCTAAGGGGTTGACATTTAAACGTGATCTTTAACAAAAAATCTGGCGTGAGAAACTGGTTGTGAGAAGTTTTCTCTTCATCCTATGCCAAACTTCTCTACAGACTGAGGTTTGAGGGCCTCGTGATGGGACCAAAAGTTCTACCTGATTAGACATTTCTCACCTGTGTTGATATTGCTTTGTTTAGGTTTTCGTTGTGATCGATCTCGTCCTTAATTATCCGTAACCTAGCCTTTTTGACATTCATACGTTTAGTCGTCCTCCTCAGTTAGGCGGTGCTATCCAATGATAGTGCTCAGTGAGAAGCCACAATTTGAAGTCGGTTAGAGTGGCCAAGACAGGTTACCTTCTTCTGGTTCCCTTATTCATAAAAGCCTAAGGCGATGGTGGTACTTCAATCACTACCAAATGCCAATTATTTGAACTGTTTAGCCATTTGCTAAACGACATCCACATTTGTTGAATCCAGGTTTCTGGGTTGGTGTTTTGGCTGCGAGGCAGCATCCCCATCCAGTCACGATGTAATACCAAGGCCGATTCGGGTTGTCTTTCGAGTCTGCTCTCGTTTCTTGCAGCCTTTTTTCTTTTCTGCTTCGAAGCTGCCTAACGTACTTTTCAGCTTCAGTGGTCACAGCCGACGCTAGTTACTGATTCAGATTCTCTGAATACAAGAATATACCCAGCAAAGCGGCGGTGAACTTACAAGACTTTTCCTTAACTTGGCCATGTCATCCTGACAATGTTAGCCTAATCAATTTGTCCCTTTCGTTTTTATGGTAGTAAACTGTCGTCCTATATTTTTACTCTCTCGGGCGAAGATTCCTGTGATGGTACAAACGCACAATCTGCGTCTGTCTTTTGTAGATCTGATACTAATTAACGTTCTTTGGGAGATGAGATTTTGTTATACCATAGCCTCCAACTAGAGGAGTTATCTTCTGACTTCTTCCCCTAGATATGGGTTTACGTGTAACTTAACCTAGTTAATGGTTGCTGGCTTTGTGCCCAAATTTTCGAGATGGCTTGTTGGTTCTTGCATCGTAGATCTGTCAGAGGAAAAGCCCTCTTCTACTCAGCTGTTTTTGTCGATTTTCTTAACAATCAGGCCAGACGTTTTTAAAAAACTGTTGAACACCTCTCAGAACGTTCGTTCTTTATTTAACACCACTCCTCATGCTTTACAGGTCGTTACAAAGCCCTCCTGTATCCTCCAAGTCCAAGAGCGTTGCGTACAAATCTTAGGGTTCATGTTCTTAGAGTTGAAGTACTTTGACCAGACTGTATTCAGCCGTGTACAGCAATTTTGCACTTGCTTACTGCCAACCAATCAAGGGAACCAAAGGAAGAGGTCATATTGAACTCTTTATAATTTTCTGCAGACCACAGGTCAGTGTCTCAGACCGGGTAGGAGCAGCAGGAATGACTGTAGCTTTTGCCTGTGCTGACGTTGGCATCGGTATCAATCTGTGTATACTCTCCACTAGTTCAGGGCCTAGGACATAGCTTCAATCAACTTAGTCTCTTACTATCACATCAGTCATCTTTTACTGTTCTTAGCGAGAAAAGTTCAACGCTTGTTCGGATGTAAAAGGTGCGTTTTGGATGCCTGTCTGTGAAAGCAGCTTCCCTGTTCCTTGAACAGTAGCTTTTGTTCAGAAAATTGCCCTGTAATAAGTTTCCAAACCTTGAGGGACGGGTTACGTTGTTGTCCTTTAGCCGCTTCTGTGTTACTTCACATTTCCCCTCGTCAGTGGCGCTCTGTTAGTGACGAAAGTGACACGCAATATCCTTCGAAGCAGTATCTACATTTGTTCCCATCGGGTCCATCAGAAGGTTCGTTTTCGTTCGTGTTGTCCGGTTTCCAAATTAAAATTCAATCCGTGATCACGTCTGAGCCAAGAGCTCACAGTGAGAAAGCTTGAAGGGCTGTAGCAAGGGCTTAGGTAAGATATTCTCACATCACTCATGTCACTTGATAATCTTCTTAATATCGGGAGTGAAGATTATTAACTGTGGTTGGAATTGCGATATTGAAGATAGCACCGGATTAGAACCCACGACAATTCCAACAAACAACGAGAGGAGGCTACGATCATTGTAGCGACTTTCTTGTGCTGGAGTCCCAGTGGTGTTGTTACTTGATATCTAAACCGTATTTCCCTAAGAAGTACGTGTGAAAGTATATGCAAGTATAATCTTGTGCATATCTACATGTATATACCTATGAGTGTGAGCGGGTATTGTATCACTGACGACGTAGTTATTTCGTTCTGAAAGTAGATTGTAACAAGATGAGCTTCTAACTTGAAGAAATTTGCCTGACGGGTCATCGTCAGTTATGTTCTTGTAATTGCATCGTTTCCACTTAAATGGAAAAACAAATTTCTTCCCGAATTTAAGTCAGTAAGATTTCCCATAGCTCCTTATCTTCATCGCGCAAGAGCTCAATTTCTCACGTCCCAGAATGAACTTACAGTTATAATGTATGGGCGTAATGTACTTACTAAGGACATTACTGTTTACTTTTTTTTCTTAAACTCCTTGCCCAAGTCGCGTAAGTTGCGTATTTTGGTTTGTGAAGTGACTGGGGAGAAGTCACTTTTCAACAAAGAGCGCCTGTTTGTCCTAACCCGGATTGAAAGCAGTAGAACATCGGTGACGATGGACGAAATTGTCGTCAAAAGGGTCCCAATCTGTCAAATAGAATTTATTGGGGTCTCATAAGCAGTTTGGACGAAATTGTCGTCAAAAGGGTCCCAATCTGTCAAATAGAATTTATTGGGGTCTCATAAGCAGTTTGGGTCCCATCAAGCAAATTTCTCGTGTAACTTGTAATGTGGTATGTTTTATGGGTTTGCGATCATATTGGGTCCCATCAAGCAAATTTCTCGTGTAACTTGTAATGTCGTATGTTTTATGGGTTTGCGATCATATTGGGTCCCATCAAGCAAATTTCTCGTGTAACTTGTAATGTCGTATGTTTTATGGGTTTGCGATCATATTGGGTCCCATCAAGCAAATTTCTCGTGTAACTTGTAATGTCGTATGTTTTATGGGTTTGCGATCATATTGGGTCCCATCAAGCAAATTTCTCGTGTAACTTGTAATGTCGTATGTTTTATGGGTTTGCGATCTATGGGTTGTTCTATGGGTTGTTGTATCTTCTAACTAATGATTCGTATATTGAAGTAAAGAAATAATCAAACTAAATCTTGTAATATTATGAAATGAAGACATAATCATAATTATCGGGTCATGTACATTCACACAATATTATAAAAGTCAAACTGATACCAGAATGATATACTTCATTTTGTGATCCAATTTTTTTTATCAGAATGATGTAAGTAGTGGGATAAATTGATGGATACTAAACTGGTTATTGAAAATTTTTGAACTTTCATTGTATAAAATATCTAAGACTAAACTCTACTTCAGTTTTTTATAAATCTGAAACACTAAATACTTAGTAATGTATAATTCAATGTTTCAAAGTGGAAAAAAGTAAAATGTTTACAAGCGACATTATTCTTAGTGTCAAAACATTGTAACCACCAATTATAACCACACTGAAGTAAATCTACATTTGCGAGTGATCTTGATTATCGTGCGGCATTACCTTTGTTGTGAATAGAAATCATTTAAGGTCCGTAAGACAGACAGTCACATTTTTGGCCGCTAAACACAATATGGAATCCCCTTCTTCGGTGGTTACATTAGTGACACACTACCTACAGACATTAATCATGGACACTAATTATAGTCAGTTCACCTTTTCATTGAACGTCAACTTTCGTTATTGTCGACTCTCAGAAGTGTACACAGGTATTGTGTGTACAACAGTGACGAAGTATTCTATGGCTTTCTTAACAAGCATATCGTGCCTGTTATGATTTTCCAATGCATTGAACTGATGATATAAATTGCTTTTCACTAAGAGTACGGCTCATGGCTCATGGCTCATTCATGGTGTCAGTGTTGACACCATGAGACGAAGGACACTGAAGGACATCATTGCAGGACATTGAAGAACATCATGCGTTCAGTTTGTTTCTTTCTAAACTCCAGATTCCGCTTTAAACCATAAAGACATTTCTTTCATGTAAGCTTTGGCACGTGTAAGTTTGCAAATCAACAAGTCTCGGCAAGACTTACTCCCATCCACTTGTTTCAGCTGATTTACATGACAAAATTGCTCTTTAAGTGAAAGATGATGATTCATTCAACACTCAAGCATGGACCACAACCAGATGAAAAGAACGGCGGGGCAAAATTGCACATCACCAAGCGGATTAAATACTCTTCAACATGGCAGGATGACCAGTAAAATATTAAACTTTTGTCGTTTTATTTATGGTACAAAACTCTAATGGGATCAAAAATTGATTACTCAAATTAGAAAGCTACAAATAGGGAGAAGAAACAGCCCTACATTCACTTCCTTTTAGCAGAACCTCCACCTGCCTTGCCTTTAAATGACCCAGCACTCTTAGTTCCTAAAGGTTTCTTGCTACCACCTGATTTGCCACCTGAACCACCACCAGCTCTAGATCCACCTGACTTTTTGTTGAACAATCCTCCCTTCTTCGCAGATCGATCCTTGCCGGAAAACTTCCGCAGCCCTTTGCCTCCAGCCTTCTTATTCTCCTGCGCACGCTTACCCTCTTCTTCCACGTTGTACTTGCTGACAGCCTGAAACAAAGAACACAAATGATCAATGCATTGATGCGTACGAGCAGTAGAATTCACTACGATTGCGGATTCAAGGTCAATTTATTTAGATTAGAGAGCATTCGTTGACAACATTAAAAATAGAGAAAGATGAGCGGGTGATCAGGCCTTTTAAATTATCAAGCCAAATACGTAAAGCAGCAATTCATACCTTGCCGACATCTAGTATGTCGTGATTGTATTTCGCCAATACTTTGGACAACACATTGCCGAGTTGTTCTTTTTCTTTACTCGATTGGCCTTTGCTACCAACAACTGGTAAGAACTGCTCAACCACAAACAGATGAGCACATTAATGAACAGACAACAGATCATAAGGCGAGTAGGTGAAATCAAGCACAAACGCATGAGCCCGGCTTCTACACTTGAAGAAAATTATAAAATTAAAGCGGAGTCTATAAGTTTTAGTACCTTCCGATGTTTCCCAGTCTGCTTTGGAGCTTTCTCCCCCGGTAGCTTTTTGTCAAACTTGCCACCACTGGCGGTGGCAGTGCTGGCAAGACCAGCTGCAAATCCAATTTCGTCCTTATTCATACGCTTGGTAGGAGTTTTGCTGCCTGTAATAGGGAGTGAGGTAGCTGCCAACTGCAACGTACTGCATAGAAAACAGATATCAAATTATGTAGCTATTTCCTAAGGGGCACTGATCTGGATGGCACTACGACGCACATCGCGGAGTACACATCCAGAACGCATACATCACGCCAACAGAGAAGTGAAAGCTGAACTGCTAAGAACGAGAGCGTTATGCGAACATATACAAGCTTAAGCATTCCCCAAACTGACAGGTAATGGGCACAAAGGATCTTGTGACAAGAGTGGCGCCTACATGACGACTTCATCTCCAATAACAGACACGATAGCTTACATAAAACACAGTCATAATATTCAAGACAGTCTTCGATCTCACTACTTATACAAATACACAACTCTCCTGCGAGAGTCCAGTCTGCGATTTCAGTATTTTGAGGATGTGAGCGATAATTTCGGCAGAGAGAATGTACACTATTATTTCGTCAAGCAAGAACAATCAAAAGCTATCACTAACATGTCCAGGAACAAGTGGTGAGCCTGATGTCTTCATATTTTGATAGTCTTCAGGCCTCAGCTAGAAAACGTTCATCAGGGAGAGCGAGATTACCTTGGAAGAGCACCTTTGCCACCTTTCTTTGCTGCGGCTTTAAGGTTACTCAGTTGATTCTTTTCCTGCTTGGCAACGCGCTCCTTCTTGTCAGATTTCAGTTTTTCGAATGGATCCACTCCAGGCTCTGCCAGGAATGATGTCAGATGAGTCGTCAAAGACAGCTGCTGAGACAGCTGGAAACTTGTATATCACAGAAGAAACGGCTTTAAATCGAGGATACAAAACAAAGTAGGCCTTTCATCACAGTGTAAGAAACAGCAAAGGCGTAGCAAGATGCTCACCGTCGGTATCCCTAGCCTCTATCCAAGGTATTTGATTCTCGTCGTTAACACGTTTGTACCCATGTCTTCTTCTCCACTCATCAGTTTGATCATCGTACTCCAACTTGCTTCGTTTCCTCTTCTTAATCCCTGAGGTACCACACAAGTAAGTTTGACACTGAGAATAATGAAAACTTGAATGGGTCTAAAGGGAACATTATACAGTGTATGTTCAGTCACTCAACAATAATTACAAAGTTAAGACAACGTTACCAGAACGAACTCATTGCAAGAACATGACAAGACAGGACGAGACTCAAACGCACAAGAAACTCCGCGCAAGAACAAAAGAAATTGTCAGCCAGCAATGATGGGCTTTTTAGTAGACAAAGGAAAATGCGAACTAGGACAGCCACAATGAACTGATGGCAGTAGCTTCAAACCTTTCTTCTGTGCGAACTGCTCCCATTTTGTCGGAGGCCTTGGCTTGGGTAGCTGGAACAACCAACGCATAGCCCAAATGTCCATAAGATAAATGAAGCCATCAGGGCTGTAAGTGAAAACGAAGACGACTCATTAACATTCGAAAATTATGCAAACAATATCAGAGTACTAGAAAAGACACGGTGACTATTGAACATTTGAAAGCTGAAAAAACCACAAAAGTGATCACAAAATCTTTACACACCGGCTTCTCCCGAGGAAGACGCGTTGTTGGAGGAGGCAAAGTCACGAGGCGTCCGACTTTGTCAACGGTCGCTGGAAGCTCGTACAACTTATCACTGAGGGCCTGGATCAACTCTCTCGCTTTCTCAAGGCATTCAGCCCTGCAATAACAGATGATGATGGCAGGCTTTGAGTTCCAAGGGCAACGTTTCTCTCTACAGTACTTCTTAAATCGAATCGTGGGGATTCGATTTAAGATCATACTTATACAATTAAACCATGCTGAATTTCAGCGATCTAGAACGAGTGAAGTCGCATGTGACATGAGGATTTAATTGAGTGAAACTTCCCTAACCAGAGTTCCAAGATTCTAGTGTACATTATGCAGTATAAGATCAACCTCGGGGAATAACCCTGCAAATAACCGGATCAACTAATGTCTAGGTGGTCCATCTCATGGTGCCCAAGGGGTACAGCAGTTGGGAAGAAGCATGGATACAATGACAGACAAACCGAGACCTGTCATGCATGAACTAGAGATTGAATGAAAGACATATTAATGCAAACATGGAAGATTGCAGTGACCAGGAGAACGTTGGGACATGGAAGGCAGTACGGGCAGAGCACTGTCCATGTGACAGCTGCTCTGCTGTCACATGGACAGTGCTGGAGGAACTCAATGGGCAGTACGAATATACAAGTTCGACGCAAGCAATTCCTCCAGTGCCCATCGGCAAAATTTGGATGGGAAACGCCGAATTCCCGAGACAGAGACTCGCTACTTCATCAGAGCAGAGGCCTTCGCACAAAATTGCGCGCAGCGGATGATGACTCCAAGCCAACAAGCGAGGCAAGAGCATAGGCTGTTCTAGGATGCAGTATATAGATGAGCTGAACTCCGTGAAGTTTCGAAGCTCTCAGTTTTTTATCATTTCCCATGTACTCTTGGTGGTGTGTGAGCGCACATCAACTCACAGATACATCAAGGATCGAGTGACTTCAGTGTTTGTTTTCAGAACTTTAAGAGTGCCACGTATCGCTGAGAAATAGCATAAACCAGATTGCTCGGAGAATCAGACTCGAGTGAACTCTGAGGCAGATTCAAAACACAAGGCCGATCTAAAATCCACGTAACTCAACACACTTTGTTCAGACTTGAAGCTTGTCCTACTCTGGAACTTCCACAAAGGAAAGAGAGCCACAAGGGATGGCCGGAACCTGTCGCTTAAGCTAAAACGCCGATCCACTTTGCACTTACCGACCTTAAGGCGCATCACGGAGACAGTGAGAGACTCCCGTGAATAAGAATCAGCATCAGAGGGATTTCTGGAACCTTGATTGATCCCCTGTTGTTAAGAAAGCCGGAGCCGCACACTCTGGCCTTCCAACTATGAGTGATAAATTTGCAGGTGCAGTGAATGAATGCAGTGATGTGGCTGGTGAGAGGAACACAAGCGAACTTACGGTGAGGAAAAAGAAGCTCGCGGATCGAAGACCATCAAGTTGCCAAGATCCATAGCGTAGAGGTCAGCGGGCTGCATCGCATAAGCTTCATGGTTCGAAGTACTTTCGATCGCCAGATCTTCTGACGAGTCCATTTGTGCTGAAAACTGAGCACTCTACAATCCGGAGACCCGCCAGTCTTTCCAATTTGCACTCCTCGTCACGTCCCGTGCAAAAATTCCCTCCCCCACCGACGGCAGTGAATCTGCAAATCTTAACCAAATGGTGACCGGGCTTCTCTCTAAAACCCTATGAACTGGAACGACGGGACCAATTTCCCAATTTCCCAGCACTAATTGCAATGTGCAGTCTGCAATCTGCACTCTACGACTCAATTCTGAGAATTTCTTCCGCAGCTCTCGGGGCAGCAAATCGGGAGCGGCCTGGAGCGAAACTCCAACCCTTCTGAGCAATTCTGGAGCCAAACCCCGCGGCTAGGGAACGAGCCGTAGCGCAACCCTAAGGTTTCTCAGGGTTTAAGCCGGTCCAGGAATTCGTTACCGCGTCCGACGATCGGACTGCAGTCACTAAGCCGATCGAAGCCAGTCGGCGATGGACTGCAGTCAACTGCCGTCATCAAAGTACAGTAGAGCACGTCAATAAGAAAAACTCGGAACTGTGTATCGCCCGGGAGGAAAACGAACGTGCGACCGAAAATGACCGAAAAATGGACGAATAGAGTACGGTCAGGGGGCCGAATTTAGCACAGAACACCCGTGTTCTCATGGAGTGGTACGATTATCAGTAAGTCTTGTGATAATGATGGCACGTAGAGCATGAATTGGCTTGAGACAATGAATAAACCAACTTTTTTGTTTTTTTTAAGTTTCGATACGATTTTTTTCTAAGGATAAAACAGAATCCAGCATATATAAACAGTAGCTAAGATCAACACACATATCATTATACGTACAGATTTTGGTGCTTTGGGAGATAAAACTTAGGTTCTTGGTTATGTTGATCAATGAATTATCTCAGTGAATCAAACACAGCTTGGAATATATGACATTCAACTTTTTAATAATACAAAACTGGCAAGAAAAATCAATCAACTTCTCATTTTCATCCTCAGCACATCTTATGGTTGCTCGCATTGGATAACCATAATTGTTACTGGGAAAATATATTTAGCACAAGCGGAAGCTTAGAGAGATTTTGAGACTAACTGTGAGGAGTACACCTAAATTGCTCGAACCAAACAAATTATTTGATTCACAATTTATCTAACTTGAACATGTATTGAAAATGTAATCATATTGAAGCCTTTGACGATATCGGACCATACAAGTATAGTAAATCTCAAGATCTTGATACGTAACTTTTCTTAATTAAGTTTTTGTAGTCAATCTCATTGATGTATTAGTCCAAAATTTTCATGTTTATATTGAATTGAGAGATACAGTTAAACATTACAGTGAATCAATGAGGCCAAAAAACTTTATTTTGTGCTTGTTGCATAGTTTTAAACCCTCAAACTTTCAATTTTCTTTATGATATTGAAGTGCTATGTAAAATAAGATACAACAATTAAAATCAAACGTCATCTTTTGCTATATCATATGTTTATTGATTGATTTTTTTATTTCCAAACATTTTATTCTTAATCATGTTAAAGACTAAGTAAATATGATGAAATATTTGTCATTAAAAAATATGTAGGAGCTAATAAATTAAAAAATTTATGGTTTCATACAGTTGTATACATCTATTTATGATGTTATGAACTATTTTAAATATAATTTACTAATTTATTCCAAAATTATTATAATTTTAAAATATTTAAATTAATCTTTGATTCATAAAATTAATCTGGAATGTTGATTTTCAAAAAGGTAAACAAAAGTTGAATATGTAAAAAAACAAAACATAGAATTATCATTTTTTCTTATTTTTTTTAAATACTTCAATCCTCATGCGATTTGCACATATTTCATACATTGTAACGAAATGAATATGAAATTACAAAGCCTTCATGCAACAACATCATATTTTACAACTATCTGAGCAGAAATTTAAATTTGGTAAAATTAGAATCAATATTGTGAAAGATGTACAATTATCTCCACTAGGATCACATCTTCATGACAAACATCTATTGAACTGTTAAACATTTTCATCTGAAACTAATTGCAATTTTAATTGTTTCAACTTTTTTCAATACAAATGTTTAAATCATTTTTGAATCTATTAGCTCTTGAAATAAATTCAACATGCAATATAAAGTAACTTAACTAGGAAGTTGAAAAAATGTTAATGATTGAAATTTTGATACTTAATATGTTATCTGCATTCAAAATACAAAAATAATTATTTCGTTGCAACGAGTAATATATAAGTAAAATTCATATATTATAATATAAGAAATAAAATTTACTTATATTTTATGAAAATTAAACATCAAAAGTTTACATCAAATTTGAAACACCATTAAAATACTGTTTTAGTTTAAATCCTTTTTGAAAGACAAAAAACTATATATAAATATATATTTATATTTATATTTTAGGCATCATCCATAACTTCATGAAAAATAAAGATATCTAAATTTTTCCATTCTAACATACAGAAATAGCATTTAAAATTGTCAGCAAATGGAAGAGCTCTATGTTTTTTTTTTTTTTGTGTGGGTCCATCCAATATTATGTGTGTATTGGATAAATCTCAGTAAGTGACATGATTGTAATGGAGCACTTGTATCCATATGAATCATGTACATTGTAGTGTTCTCTGCTGCAAGCCTGAAATGAAACCGAAGTTACTCAACAATGTGCACTATTGGAGTATGGTAGTTTGGTTACAATCGTATGTAAATTCTTCAATTACAAACCCGTTGTCAACGAAATCCAACACTGTTTCAGATTAAAAAATAATTGTAAACATTTTTATTAAAGTAGTTGACCTTAACCATCTATCTTGATGTGGAGAGCGTTATACCAAAACAATGAATATGCAAACTATTATGAGTTAATATTTGATTCAAACTTAGATGTATTTGTTGAAGTTAATACGTCAATAGATGTACAATTGAGAATGCTGGTGGAGTTGGTTCCGTCACGCGTAGAAGGGATCAAGGTGCCAATGTATCTTCAATGTGGAAAAGTCGTGACCTAGCAGTCCGAATAAATCAGATCCAAGAAATATCTAAAAATCCTGAAGCAATGTCAATCCAAAATTGAGTTATTCAATGTGAAAACTCACACCACGATCCTCTTCTCCAATGCCATGCACTTTGAGCATGGGGTAGGTGGGTGGATACAGGCTTATTTTCACGTTTCTCATCTCACCGCTACCACCCATCTCAAAAGTAATATATTTATTATATTTCAGTTATAACGTCTTATAATATTCGAGGTTAGTGCTAAAAAAAAAACCGAATGCACGGAAAAAGAGGACGCACAGAACGACCCGGCCCGGCTCTAGATGAGCAGAATGATTTGGAAAAAGAAACCCACCAATCCAAGCTAAACAACAATTGTTAATATTATTAATGATGTCAGTCGACTTTCTTCCAATCGGACGGAGCTTCGCTCATTCGATGGGAAAAGTCTCACAACAGAAAGTCTGCAGACTTGCAAGCCCAGGGTTGAGGAAGTTTAGGGTCGAGAGACCGTCCTTTCAGAAGTGGCCCCTCGTCATGCTCCAGAGGGTGCTCTCTTATGGAGAAATGGTACACGGGCACGTCGTATCCTCTGCCAGTGCTGCTTCGATCACGTACATGTTACCACGGTGGAAGAAACTATTATGAGGCATTTGTTCCTGAACCTATGGAGGCTGTTCTTTTGGTGGGTTTCCACCTCTTTGACTTGTTCTCATGTTCATTGTAAGCTGGATGTCGTGTGGGGTTTGCAATTGTCCGTACCTGGACCAGGAGTAGTTGTAGCAATCTCGAGCTGGAGGTCTCTTTTTCACTGGAATTGAGCTATTTAACACCTTGACCTAAAGTTTGCAAACTGTTCGATATGAGCTCTAGAGCTTTGTTAGACTTCGGACAAAGGATGCATTCTGAAGCAAAGGACTATCAGGCTGCTGATGATCTGCTCGGTCGAAGTACATACATCGACAATGATTAATTGAAGCCCTTGCAAGTCTACAAAGATATCGAGCGACTGGGATTCTTATCACAATCGCTCAGGAAGTAAGTTCGGATTCTGATGCAGGCCTTTGTTCTAATGCACGAGACTTCGATAGATCCCGGTCCTTTCTCGGTCGGCTCAATGGGCACTCTTTGGGTCCGGCTTTTGCTCGGCTTCATGCATAGATTACAACAAAGGTACTTTTGTTGATACTGTGCATCAAATCCAGAAGTACTTCCATCGATCGATAAAATCTTCGCTTTTTGTTCTAATTTCCGAACGAAAATAACTCTTCGAATCGAAACAGAACGGGTGCCGAATCGCATAATATCGATAAGCTTCCGACGACCGGGAAGCATGATAGAGACGAACACGAGTCATCGCCGACCGATATTATACTTTCCCGGGCAGCACGTGCAGACAGCACACGCCGGATCTTGACGACCGACGACTCCGTAACGTAAATCTCTCCGACCGCCGCCCCCGTCGCGCTATTTACCTCGAACCGCTTTCACACCCGGGGCCACTCTCGGAGTTCGTGCCACGCTCCGTGCAGCGGACTTGCTTTCCACTGTCTGACTCGTCTCCTCTCCCCGCGAGCCTATCCGGCCAGAGCCGTTGAGCCGCGTGTGGCGCGGGCGACGGGATGCGTTCCGGAACCGGCTTCTTCTTGAGCGAGAGCGAGCGAGAGAGAGCGCGGACGGATACAAGAAGGAAATGGTTTGATAAGGTTATCTGCGCTCTGCTGGGCTTGGATCGAGGTTGATGCGCGTGAGGGCATCGGTCGGAGTCGTGGAGTGGCGGTGACATTTGTGTCGAGCTCTTAGCGATTCCGTCTCTCCCCCGAACGTGGAATGATTTGAAGAGTTTTTTTTGGCGATGCAGAAGCGTGCTAACTCGCAAAATGCCTCGCATGTGCATTCTTTGGAGCACGTTGGCATGATGTTCCGTATGGAGTGTGTGTGTGTTACATTTGTGTTGAGCTTCGTCCGTATGCTGGCGTCGTGTCTCGTCCAGTGGATGGAGAAACCATGACATGATTGTGGAATATGAGATGTGTTTAAAGAATACAATTGCAGGGAGTGATGAAGCGAAGAGAAATTGATAACCTCGTCAAGAAGCAAATGGATACAACCAAGTAATCTGATATTAAAATTTCATTTCATGCGATTGTTTTAGTATGGATGCACTCCATATTAAACCTACCGGTAGACCTCTTAGTGATATCAGTTGTTAAAGTCAACATCCACATCTCCAAAGCAAGGAGATCGAAACCTCATAATTGATCAAAGGGCTCTTTCATCGGTACACGATTATATGATTTATAATGATTCGTTCTCACTTGAATCGTAGCAGGTGCAACTTATTGTAATTTCGTCAACCAGTTGTGGATTCAATTCGACAAAAATTTTGACGGTCTGTTCATGGACGCTTGCTCCAAGAGGCTAGAGGGTTTCTCTGGGCATTATCAGTTCGAAACTCTGTCAAGATGGTTATTCATATGACAATACTGAAACTTGGACTCATTCAACAAAGATGTGTGATATTTTATGATCTCTATGACCACAAGAGTCATACAGTCATCCAGCGCGAGTCAACAGAACTCGGCGACGTGAGGCCAGTAAAAGCGAGAGAATTTTCCGTGAAGACCTTCTTGGACCAATTGCTAACTGATTGGTCCAGTCTGGCGATGATCATCGTCTCTTCACACTAAACAACAATAAAGGCTGTATTCCACGTGGCCAAATGGACTAAGACAACTTTCTTCATATTGTACAAGAACATCCCATGTTCAGCCGATTTGTTCTTATGGGACTATTTTTATTACATCGTTGCGCGTTTCCTTCTTCTCCAACTCGTTGAAGACGAAGTTGTACGGGAAGATATATGTTTCGCCGCAGGCTTTCATTCCGCTGTGAGAACAAGAAAGGTAAATTGGGCAAGAATGGGAAGTAAATACAATTTGTTAAAATAAAGGAAAAGTTAGAAAAGATGCGGTCGATGAAGATGGTTTTGATGACTTGGCGACTGGTAAAAGAGTTTCCGCGTTTGGCGAGTGACCGACACACTCCAGACGGACACACTGCATAATGACTCTAGCTGACGCAGGTGACTGCATGACGATGCCGCCACAGAGTATATCAAGCGTCAAGGCCGAGTACCGCAACGTTGAGAAGTTTTCACCTCAGTTCGATGTCGTTGATGTTCCAGGAGGTAAAGGATCGTTCGGGCACATTCTTTGCACTAAGAAATTCGAACAGCTGCTTGTTCCCGGGATTCGCAACCACTGCAAGATGGGAGTACCTGTAGTTTAGCGGAGATCGTGGCAGGGGTGAGCATGGGCGATAGAAGACACATTGTCAACTGATGTTGAATCTTACTGGTCAATATATGATGGCGCTGTAAGTAGATCCAGTGCTATACTAAGTGGGTTGATGAGACTGATGCAGGAGAAGGTAAGTGAAATTATTCTGAAATTCATCACGACGGTGAGAAGGTAAGTGGTTATTTGCGTTCATGCCAGCCCCCACCCAGCCGCTCTGAAACCATGTCAAACTTGCAGGGGTCGGAAACTCACACAGACGACGTCAACACTCACTTGGGCAATCAGGGATCCTGACGGATGGATGGCAACATGTGGGGGCGGTCCTGGTCTTCAGGGTGCTGGACTAACCGAGACTCGTGACCGGTGACTGGGTGTGATGACTTCTTGACTTCTGACTTGAGGCTAACGAGTAGTGAACGATCAGGAAGGGAGTGGTACAGGAATATACTGAGCTCTGCAGGGATGGGGAATGGGGTAGCGTGGACTTTGGGACCTCCCGGAAAATTACTGTAATGGGAAATCGAGTTGCAGGCCCGTTCGGAAAGGCTGTCACCGGTCTACTGTGAGGTCGTCGTCTGCGTGCCATTGTTGCGAATAATTCTCTCCCAAACTTATATAAAACCAGTAGATATCGATCCCCATCATCAACATGCGCATTTCGTGCTTTCGCAATACATCTCAGCTTTCTCTGCTGAAGAGGTGGGTCAACACTCTTCTGCCTCATAGGACCTCCTCCTCCTCATACAGCTTTGGCATAGCAGAATCACAGCTCACGCATCTTCGAGGGATTTTCAGCCTGAGGGACTCCCTGTTGAAGTCTGCTGGTAGATCATCATCCCTTCTTCATCAATTGCTCGCTTTGCGTGATTTCTTCATTTTTTTTCGTGGATTGCAGCGACAGGCAGATTACATGTGATGCCCTATGACAGTATATCTAAATTTAGATAGCAAATCTTAGCAACCTCCGCGAGCAGAATTTTGAATTTGGAGTTCAACCTCGAGGCCGGGCGTTCATTGTCCACTGCGAATGTTCTTACTGTACGACTAACTTGCGTAATTGTCATCTCCGATTGCAGACTTTGAGAGCAAAATGGAGGTTGTGAAGGTTGCTCTGAAGTTAGAATCTGCAGCACTTGAGAAAGTTGCTGTTACGGCTGGTGATAAGTCTTTTACTTACGCAGAGGTGTTACGTTCTGCTTTCAACATCTCGTCTATTTTGGAGAACAAGGATGGAAGCAATGGGCATGTTGCTGAAGGCGAAGAGTCTGCAGAGAAACAGGTGCTTCCACTACGAATGTCCACCTGGCACAAGTCTAGAAATTACCAGGAGTTTCACTTTCTCTTCTCAGTCCAGCTGATCTGGCGTTATCTGGCGTCCAGATGATCAAGTTTGAGGCAATTTTGATTGACTACATGACGGAAACTCCTTCCTTCTTCAGTGTGTCTCCGCCAGATGTTCTCAATTTTCGCTACAGGTTGAATATAGTTTCAATCGTGGTACTTAAAACCGTACGAGCTTGCGTTGGGTTCCGATGAAAGCCCATGATTGCCTTCAGGATGTGTCTGATTCTAATCATCCTGGAACCAAGAAGCTTTACAAAGCTTTCAATATGTAGCTAGCTGATCAAGACACCAATCCGTCTTATATTAGATTTGTCCAAAAGCCCTGGGCTGTTACGGTCAGGGTCTGTTCTATGAAGCCATAGATATCTTGAAACAATACTTCTCTGACACATTTTCTGCGTCAACAGGCACAATATCGTCATTGTCAAGGTTAATTCTGAGTTTTCTTCGTATCCCGTTTACATCAGAGCACTTACATCTTGAGAACTTCTTCCAGGTCGTCGAAGCTGAAGCCGGCAAGAAAGCTGATGGCCCAAGAATCGGTATTATGGCCAAACCTTGTGCAGAGTTCGTTGCCGCAATGTGGGCCGCCTGGCTAAATGGGGCTGTTGCAGTTCCGCTTGCTCTGAGCTATCCGGAAGCCGAGCTTATGCACGTTATGACCGATGCGGTAATGGATCGAATTCAAGTCATTTGTAATTAATAGGCTTGATGAAGCATGCTCATGTTTGCAGTTAGAAGATTCTATCAGTCCAGATCAGTCAGATTTCGTAACAATCCGGACTGTTGCAATAAGGAAGTTTGGCTGTCAGCTTACTTTTCCGTAGATTCTTTCAACTTAATTTTCTTGTCGCCAGATGGAAGATGACTTCTGTGCCTATTGTCTCTGTGACTTATCCTAGTTACAAAGCTTATCGATGATGTATTACACGACGCTGTAAGTAGGTGTTTGGGCCTAGTATATCATAGTTCTGTTCCAAGACCGAGCCGATTTGGTGAATATGTTCTAGGAGGACGGATCAAGTTTTGCATGACGATATAGTTGTAGGTCTGAGATTTTGTTGACTTTGTCCAGGACATTTCCGTGGTCGTCGCAACTGAGGAGTATCGTGAAATTTTAGAGAAGGTGGTTGAGAAGAGCCCAGGAGCCAAATTGTATATCCTCCCTCCCGTTGTCAACACCCATGGGAATGAAATTACAGATACACAGAGTTTGGATAAGCTCTTGGTGGAAGTAAAGAATCGATCGTTAACCCTTTCAGGTAGATGAAATATACCTCTAACTGGTAGAATATGCTTTCACATTGCCATTTTCTTCATAGACTATCACCTTGGATCTCGGCCTTTACCCAATCAGCTTTTGGTTTCCACAGCTAGTCAGGGAGTGAGTGTTCCGTGTAGAATTTCAGTACCTTTCAAAAGGTTGTTAGGATGACTGGCATTTGTCGATGTCGAGTGCTGGTAAATTTCACATTTATGCTCATTGTTCTGAAACTGAGATTGACCTCAATTATATATATATCCGTAGGTGAAGAGGCAGCACTTATCATCTACACAAGTGGCACCACCGGGAGACCAAAGGGTGTGGTGCATACTCAGGCAGGCCTAGGAGCACAGGTTTGTAGTGCGCCATGTTGTTGAGGGTTTTGTAATGTCTCAAATTCCATTGACATTTTGTGCCATCTAGTTTAAATATCAGTCATAAAGGCTTTCTTAACTTTCACTTAGATCATCACCGAAAGATAACTAGCACGATGGATGATCTGATAAACACAACCAACGGCTGTCAACGATCTCTCGACATTGTAGGTTCGAATGTTATCAGAAGCTTGGGGATACACTGCCGATGATCGATTCCTTCACTGTCTGCCCTTGCACCATGTCCACGGCTTAATCAACTCACTTCTGGCACCCCTTTATGCCGGAGCAACGATTGATCTGCTGCCCAAATTCAGCACGAGTGGTGTTTGGCAACGCTGGCGCAGCAGCTATCCCGTTTCTGGAGAAGTTGCTGCTACCCCGATCACGGTCTTTACTGGCGTAAGTGTGACTCATTTCACCTAATGATAACTTGTAGAGTAGAGATGATGACTCAGTTTTTTTTTCTTATGGACGGCTAACTTTGAAAATTTTTTCTTCATCACATGTAAGATAGAAGATCTTGGAGAGCAATGCTCTTGGTTATAATTCTAGTTTTCCCATTTTTTCAATATTCTATATTTCAGCTGCTGGAAAATCTAATTTCTTAAGATGAATACTCCTGAAACAGGTTCCGACGATTTACGTGAGATTATTGCAAGGGTATGAAACCATGGATGCAGAAACACAAAAAGCTTCTGCTGATGCTGCCAGGCAACTACGTCTGATGGTACTAGATTCTCCTTTGGTGAAATTTATCTTCACGTCGGAATAGTTTTTTGCCCGTGAAAGAGCTTACAAAAACTGCAGGGTATTTTATTTAGACCAGCGACATGTCTAAGCATAGCATATTAAGCAGCTATTTTCCTTGCGTTTTGATGAGCAGATGTGCGGATCTTCTGCTCTTCCACAACCTGTTATGGACCAGTGGGAGTCTCTTACTGGACATAGATTGCTAGAAAGATACGGCATGACAGAGGTAAGAAAGACGTGTTACATCCTCATTGATTACTGTTCTATCAATTCCAGCTCTTAGTAATTGCTCCCTAAACATGACTTTGAGAAATTCAGTGGCTGGAATCTATGTGGTCGGGCCGTGCAGCATGTGTCATAGGAAGTAAAAATAGCTTACTTTACATACTCCTAGGTGATAAATATGACGGAAGAAATTTCATTTTTTCACTGGCATGCAGTTTGGAATGGGGCTCACGAATCCTCTACATGGCGAAAGGAGGCCAGGTTTTGTTGGCAAGCCTTTTCCGGGAATCGAGGTATGTGAAACTGCATCTCACATCAGCTGGACCACCGTCTTAGTAGCAGCTACGCGGTCAGCGAAGGAATGCTGGCATTTTCAAGGCTTCTTTATTTTTTGAAACGTTGGAGTAGAGAAATGTAGGCAGATAAGGATACTGGTGTCAAGACGTTGATTATATTATGTTGAAGCGGATGCATTTGCGTTTGGGAACATAGGACTTATTACTTGACCATGTTCAAAAGATTCTGATCATTTGAAATGTTAAGTCGGATTTGACTTACTATAGTAATCATTGAGACAATTGAAACTGGCAGATAAGAGTAGACGATTCCGACTCCGATGTGAAAGGCGTTGGAGAACTCTTGATGAAGAGCCCGTCTATGTTCAGGGAGTACTGGAGGCAGCCTAAGGTTTAACCCTTTTCCTTTAACGTTTATGTGATGAAGTTGCTACGCTGTAACCATGTGATTTCTTCAATTTTTAATTCTGTACCTGGTATCGTTCCTGCCTTAGTATGCCCATTCTACATAGATGGCACAGTTGTGGGAGCCGTTTGGAAATTGTTCTAGCGCTTTGGGGCAGGGAAACAAGTTCATGTATTGCTCTTGAAAGTTTAGGCATCATCACATATGTACCTGTCAATGGCTGAAGGCCATTTACCCCGCTCCCTGGCTATTCATGAAAAGTATGAAGGAGAAAAATATATGGCTGTATTTGAAACTTTGCTGACTTTGAAAGTTTTTTTCTCTTTTTCCGAGACAAGTGAAAAAGAAGGGGAATTCATTTTATAGCTTGTATGCCCTTTGATTAGAAAGCTGATTTGGACGTATTTCCAACGAATTTCGCTTGATTTCCAGGTGACAGCGGATAACTTTACCGAAGATGGTTATTTTAGGACGGGCGACACGGTGACAATCGAGGATGGTTATGTCAAAATTCTTGGGAGTAAGACCCCTATACTGAGCGTCGTTATCGTTTCTTGTTCATAATACGCTAGAGTGCAGTTTGACTTGGATTGTGCTTACAAGGATGATGCAGCTGTTTCTGATATTTCGCCAATTCCGCTTGGTTGACTAACTTAAAGAGTATTGCTTGCAGGAACGAGTGTGGATATCATAAAAGTAGGTGGTTTTAAGCTATCTGCCCTTGAGATTGAAGCTGTTCTCTTAGAGGTACATATACCTCTTCTCGCTGCCTTTGCCAGTTGAAGTAGCATTTGTTTGTCCCGACTTTTATCTACCGTTTATTTACATTATTGTTTTCTTAGTGGATTTTGATTGGTCCTACAATATACTGGCACAAGCAGTGTTTGTTGATACCTATAGTAAGTACATTTCGCAGAAACGAATCTTTGAGGGTTTGAATGCTTGAGCATTCCGCTAGGTGGTACAATCATGCGACGTTAATCATCTCGTGGGTCTCAACACGATGTTATGCGTTATCTTGTGCAGCGAATTTGTTAATGTCTTTTTTTTAGCAAATGGTCAAGTGGTCCATGTGGGAAATGCTGTGGAATAACTGCAGTAGGATTTGGCGTAAACAAGCACATGGTTACAAATAAATCTGTTTGTTGCTTATTTTCCTGAGGATAATATACACTTTCAAAGATTCTGTCAAAATCTGATGCTACTGTATGTTATGAATTTGTGTAGCATCCTGCAATTGCGGAGTGCGCTGTTCTCGGCCTGCCCGACAAGGATTACGGAGAACTCATGTGTGTAGTCATAGTTCCCCCTGAGGCTAAAGCAGCAGAAGCAGCTGCCACCTCAGAACCTGTGCTCACTCTGAAAGAGCTCCACAAATGGGGTGCAGATAAAATGGCACCTTACAAGGTACTCTTCGTTCCGAATGGATTAGACTTGTTTTGTACAAACGTTGAAAACATAAATCTTCATTTGTCGTGATTTTCAAGTAGCTCGTGGTATTCGTTGTTGTATCGTTGTTTGTGAAATAAATAAATGCTATTGAAGCATTGAATACTGACGGTAAGACTGGCCTGTATGTGAAACAGCTTCCTCAAAAACTTCTCATATGGGAGAGCATGCCTCGCAATGCCATGGGCAAGGTAACCTGTTTATGATGGTGATGCTGGTGGATTCTGCTTTTGCTTGAAACAGCTGCATCCTTTAGTGTCTTCGAGCTACAAGCTAATGTAGACCCTCGTGGACTTGCAGGTGAACAAGAAGGAATTGAAGAAAACTTTACTGGAGTCTACTTCATAAGAATTCGTGCTTCCAATTTTGCTCTTCGTCACCTTCTTTTACCTTCAAATTCGACTTTTTTACAGCCACTTCCTTCAAAGTGAGCGCGTGTCTTGATTAAGATACTCGAGAACTTCGGACTCACCTGTAGCCTGATCTAGCTGCATAAGGGGAGTAGTAAGTTGAAGACAGTGTAGATAATTTGTATTTTGTGTAATTGGGAGACGTTTGTTAATCAGCACGATTAACTAAAAGGGCACGCCATTCTTTCTCCAGCTAGGAGCAACACGCACTCAAAAGATTCACAGGTCTCAGGCACCTGACAAATGCTACTACTAGGTAGAATCCACTCTGAAATGCAGAATATGAAACGGAGTTTAGGAACGAGGGCGTAAACGATTTGAGATAAGATAGTACAGCTGTACCGAGCATTGTTCATGTTCCTCCTGTGATAAATAGAAAGATGCCTGTCCCTCCACGCTGGTCTCGTTATCGTCTTAAACTCTTTTCCGGCCATTGATCTAGCCGCAGAGTTCATGTGTTTGGTTATGTGTACTGCCTCTTCCATTCAATGGAATGGTCACTATTGGACTTTATACACTACCGTAATACACGAGTGATCGGGACATTTAGCTTGACGGGGAAGTCCTGGAAGGTCACGGCAGCAGATGTCGCCACTCATCAATTGTTGCCTTTTGCGTGATGGCGCTGTATATATTCTTCTTATCATGTACATGCTACACCAAATTTCTGGTTTCCGCATTAGTAGGTCAATGGCATGGTTATGTGCTGCCCAATGTGATATTTTGTTCGGTGCTGGCAGTTCTGTTATGACCGTGTTTCAGAATCCCAGCCTTGACATCAGCGCATTCAACACCGTCTTCAACCTAGTCCACACATCCGAAGCACTCATTTCTTTCTATATTTAACTAAAACTCAGTGGATTAGTCTTCAGCAAGGTTTTCTCATCAACGTAAGTTCTGAATGCTATGATGTAGGGACGTTGGAAACCATGAAAGCACTCAAAAGTATGTGGCTTCGTAATCCTGAACAATCTCGGGAGGAAAGATCAAGTCTATAATTGTAGACATTCTTATGATTATCGACAAGAATTACAGTGGAAACCTGCACATAAAATATAATAATTTGAAGGTAACCTACACACTTGTATGCATCTAGTTGCAGTTAGCAGAGCAGGTGTTTAACAATTTTTTCCGAGTTTACATCTTATAGTTCTAAGACCATATTTCAATTATGTAAAGTAGATTCACTTGTTAGGAGTTTGATTTTTCTGGTGCTCAAATATCAAACTAAAGCTTATATATTACAGATGTAATACTGATATCATGATAGACTTAATTTTTTATTGCTTTTAAGTCTATCTCGTCTTAGAAGTCTACGTTTTTTCTATTTAAATTTGTATATATTTTATAGTCATATGAAACTGCCAGATTCTTTCCATTTATTTAGATGATTGATATCTATCATCTATGTATCAATCAAGTTTAGATGTTTCTATCATAACATAAGTAGTGTATTTTTATGAAGTTCAAAATCAATAAAAAATGAAAAAAATAATCACAAGTGGAGTTGAAGTAGCTGAGTAGTATTAACGCACATATAAATGTCTTGAAATGTGCTCAAAAACATACCAGTACTTAATAAATTTAATTTCTTATGCATATATATATATATGTACATTATACCATTTAAAATGATTGGTTATGAAATTTGATATGAATATTGAATTAACATATGTTCGACACATGACTTATGTAATATGTAGCAAAGATAGGTATGTATGAGATATGTATATGTTTGATAACCACAACAAGGGATCATGATGAATATCTTGTAGTCCATACACGAACACATTGTCTAAAATGTCTAATTTTGACGTAATGTCAAAGAAGGATAGAAAATATGATATTTTATACTTGGATCATCGAGTTTTTGAAGTATAATTCGGAACGGATAAAAAGGTCAAGTTTGACCTTTGGAAGACACGCTTGCACAAACTTCTTCTTAAACTTGAAAAGATGAATGAAAATTCTCTCCTCGACGTAATCATTACATTCTTTATCACAATGTGCTAAAATATCAACTGCTCCACCGAAGGGCATTTATCTCATGGAGTACTTCAGCTTCTTTACTACATAGCAAAAGGGTCTGGTGACTCATTAATAAATCACAAGAGGAGAATCATTTCCAAAATATCAACGCTATCTTATTCCATGGTCAAGCTAGAACACCATTTTAACTCTTTCATTGAGATATAAACTGCACATATTTTATAGAAGGATGGTCGCTTAGATGAGAAATGGGTTCTTAAATGGTCGATTGATATCTTATGGCAATCCTCCGACACCTATCAATCAGCTGAAGCTTCACAGTTTTCTTTGCTTTGCAATAAAGTGGTCCTACTTGTGGACAAATGTCTCATGAATGCAAGTCAATTGGGATAGCGGACAGAGACATGTCATCGTATATCTTTCAATTTGGGTTGGACATAGATGCCAATTTTAGATGAAGAAGACTGATGGGATCATTCTCTTACGAACATGCTACAGAATGGACATCCGTCAGAGGTCATCATCCCTACGAGAGTAGACAACTCTTCTGTAACTCAATGGCCTTCCAGGATTTACGCAGCCATGAGTTCAATTAGGGCCATACCACACTACCGGTAGCCAGCACCAAGCTCATGGCTATAAGAAAACATTTCATTTCCATTGTCATGTGGATGAGTTGTTAATTGTACAACTCAAGCTATGTGAACTCGATAAGGAGAGACAAGCATAGTGATATCTCCGTTGTAAACGACTAGTTATCAACGTTGAATGTAATGATGTTGTACATTGATTACTATTGTCACAATAAATTCTTTGTATGCACATTTAGCTCAACAGGATCACTGTGTTCGTTTATCATATATGTCATCACACATATTAATGAGCACGTTGCTCTCTTCATTATCGTTTTTATCGCTGAAGTATATCTTGAAAATATGTAATGACTACGTTATTGCATGTTTGACTCAGCATGCAAATAAGGATTGTGTTTTGCATAAGATGCTTCATTGTACTTGGCTGTTTACCTATTCTTCTTCTTCTTCGGTACACCCTTCAACCTCCACATAATTTTTACTCACTTGCATTTTTTGCCTCTCTCATCGTCTTCCTTTCTTAACTTGCAATTTGATGCTAGATAAAAGTTACAGAGAAATTAGAATATGCACTATGCAAAGCTTATGCAAGGGGACTGAGTAATTTGTCGAAAGGGAAGGGCGCATCATGCTCACTTCCCTTTTGCTCCACCCACTCCATGCACCGTGCATGGAGTGGGTAGATTGTATCAGATCATCTTATGTATACCAGAATTTTGCTCGCTCGTACCCCCATTCGTTTTCACCCGGAGATTCTTCAAAGCCAATCTTGGATCGGTGTGCTCGATTTCTTCTTGAACAACATCAGGTGGCTTGGGCGAAATCACGCAAGAGACTCGACACGAATGTGCACATGTTAATTTATGTTGACCCTATGGACCATAGACCAGGGTTCCTAAAATCTGGCGTTTTATTTTTAGACGCCAGATTTGCCAGAATTAATCTGGAAAATATGCCAGAATTAATCAAGCCCACTTAGTCGACACCTGTATGAAGTTTCGACAAAAAATACAAGGATAAGGCTGGAGGTGTAGGAAGTCAGAATGTAGAAAATCTCGCACGCATCCAAGGGGAGGCGGGGAGTGGATAGCGAGAAGGAGTATCTTAGGTTAGGAATGCATTCCCGAAGGTCTCTTGTCTCGAACGCAAGCACCGAAGTCACAACGAAGCTTTTGCAATCCATCATGAGTCGAAAAACTCCGTTTCAGGTCAAACATGGCGTCGAGTTTGGTTTGCAACCGGTACAACGATCTGTACATGGCACCATCACAACAATTCAGTGTTTATTTTGCGTCCATATCGGTCGTGAAAAACGGGACGGTCGTGAAAAACGGGATGGTGCAGGTGTGAAGCGATAGAGAACCAAGAACACGCAATTGTTTCAGTTTCCGTTTCGTCTTGAAGCCTATAAAAATCACTTGGAGTCTCAGCATCCTGAAGATTGAACCAGTTACCAACTGCTTTCGTATCAAGAAAAAGTTAGTTTCTTCAAGACCAGAGATATATCAAGCATACACCGTTACCTAGACACAGACAAGGATACTCTTCAGTTTGTAATTTCTCAGTCTCCGATAGTTGATGTTGTGGTGGGAGATTTGTTTTTTCATCCGGAAGAAGACGAAGAAGACGATGTGTTCCAACCAATCACCAAGGCCAACGCCATGAAGTTGTTCAAACTGCAGCCAGACGGATCATACTTGGTTACGATCAAGAACTCTTTGCGGTTCAACCTTGCCATGCAACATGTTTCTGTTGGACTGTCATTTAGGCAGACAGCCAAGGTGATTGAACAGCATCGTGTAGCGACCAAGAATCCAAAATTGAACGGCCTCAACGATCATGTGGTGAGTCAGTTTGTGCGTGTGCTCCTTGCCGTCGACCTGCAGATCATCTCCGATATACTCATGGATCCAAAGATTTGGATGTTTTCTTTAGCGGCTGATGCAAGCACACATTTGGGAGTTCCTGTACTTGACCAGCGAATTCGTGTGTGCGTGAAAGGCGTGTTGTACAACTTCCACCTGGTGCTGGTTCCATTCTTTGAACGCCATACTGCTCAAAACTATGTCAAGCTCATCAAGACTATGCTTGACAGTGTGTGTCCATCTTGGCGCGACAAAATCATTTCGATCAGTTCAGATGGAGAAAACATAATGACAGGTAGGCACGCTGGAGTTGTCACATTGCTTGAGAAGGAATGTTCCAATCCTGTGCTTCGTATTTGGTGCGTTGCTCATCAGCTTGATATTGTGGTGAAAAATGCCACGCATGGTGTGTTGAACGAGATGTTTTATAAGGTTGCCCATGCGTTTTCTGTGCATCTTCGAGCTCAACAAAATCTCATCAACAAAATGGGTTCCAAATGCCCAAAGGACACAACGCGATGGGTGGCGTTTGATAGTATTCTTTGTTGGCTTTTGGAACATCGTCGTCGGTTGATGATTCACGTGGAGAATAGACGACCTATCCAAGTCCCGTCCATGCAATGGTGGATCATTGCAGGAGCTCTATCACCATTGTTTGATCGGATTGCCGCGACTATCTCCTCAATTCAATCTCCAAAGCTGATCATCTCTAAGCAACGCCAAGAGTTAGCAAAGCTGATGACAGACATTGCAGATAGTTTGGATATTCGTTCTACTACAGATGCAGCGCTGAACAAAATTGATTCTATCACAATCGTTCAGCAAGATGGTTTGTTTGTAACCAAAAATTCTATTGTCATGCATATATTAGATCAAGGTTCGTGGGCAAGGGATCTGTATTATGAGCTTTCAGGATTTGAGCAACAGCAGACATTGGAGGAGATAGATACTTTTTCACTCTCTATTGTGGCAAACGGTTTGTAGATCAAGGCAGAACGTGGTTCTAACAATCATGTCAAGGAATTGGAAGCACCTTCTGTGATGCATTTCTGCAAGCAGATTTAGTCAAGATGCGTCCTGCTTTATTTATCAGCGAGGTGGTGGATCAATACAGGGCACACCTGGGCAAGCACTGGAGCACTGACATGATCGACAAGGTGGAGAGTGAACACCGTGACCTGCTACTTATTTACGGGCGTGAGCTGAATGTGAAAGAGACCATTGACAATCACAGCGAGAAGACTTTCTTCAACGAGGCATGGGATTGTTTAAATGGACGTTTTTTGCATTTGCGACAATTGTGCGGTGGTCTAGCTACTGCTTTTCCAAATACTACCTAAGTTGAAAGCGATTTTTCCATTATTAAATGGGAGAAAGATGATTCACGCACAAGGCTGACAAGTATTTCTTTGGCAGGCATTATGCATGCTAAGCAATTTGAAACGCTGAAAACTGTTGTAGCAAACCGCTTGGAGGAAAAATAGTGAAGTTAGTGTTAGTGCCAAAATTGCTAGAATTAAGTAGAAAAATCTGCCAGAATTACCGTAATTATGGCAAACCTGGCATTTGCCAGATTTTAGTAGGTCTGCCCTAGACCACACAAAAAACGTTCAAACTTAGTTCTTGCACCAAACTTGATCCAAAAGTGCAGATTTTGTGTTTGTTCATGTTGATCCTCGATCCCACCCAAATGTCCTAATTGGAGTGCATGTTTTCATACTTACTTAGTATGTGTGTAGAACGTTAGAGATCTCGAAGGAAAGAAAACTTTGTAAACTTACGGACGACGACTTAGAGAGATTGAGAGGGTGATGATACATAGAGAACTCTAGATAATTTCCATTCACTATCGACTGTTTCGAGATATACCACGACCTTATAATCATGAACGAACATTTCAAGACCGTTGACATTTTTGCTGTTCAGACGAAGATGTATGGCCCAAAATGCATCATAATCCATCGTCTAGAAAATGCATAGGTAGAAAAGTGCATCTAGAGTGCAGGATTGTAGTTTGTCTATTGTGCCTATATTAAGAGGGGTCACAACATTTCTAACCAAGCTAGGTAGACAAGCTGAACACCCTAAACACTGCAGAGGAGATATCAAGGAGTCTGGATCATTTCATCTGTTCATCCTAAGCCTGGCCAATCAGCCCCCACATGTTAATGGCTCGAATTTAAGTTACGAGTACCAGCAAGATGAACTTTCAAGCATATTGTGGAGCAAAGAAGGGTTAAAGAGAAGCATGCGGTGAGTTGATGTGCCATGTGTATGCTTAGATACACAGAATGAGTGGAAGAGGATGTGGTAGAACTAATCTATCGAAACTTTGATAATGCAAGGGTGGGATTTCTTCCGTTGTGCTGATAATCTGAAATTATAGAGCACAACTATCTTGGTGCATGATTAAGGGGAGCCATGCACATATTTCCCAGGGTGGCTTAATTGAATTTTGGTCTGACGGACTTGCTATGGCCAGCATGACACCAATAAACAAGCTACTAGAAGATTGTTGGTAAACATTTCGGAAGATTACTAACCACCCTATGGCATGGATTAGTATTAGGGAAATGACAGGAGTGTGGATACAAGGATGCTAGTCTTAGTTTTTTCGTTGGAACTCCATCAAGAACACTTGATCACAAACTAGGAGAATGAGGGGGTTCAAGCCAAAATGAAGGGAGGGGCCGCGCCACTCAATTTTCATGGTGGCATGTGTTTTGTTCAGTCTACTTGTTAAGGACAATATCAAACCAATTATCAAACTAAAAAGAAGGAGTTATAGAAAACATTAGGTAAAATACTAACTACAACAGTGTATGGAGATGGCTAGAGAAGAAATACAAGAAATTCAGCTCTAGTTCTTTCCATGAACATGCAAGAATATCACTTTATGACGTTCAATGAGCACGAGGATTAGAGCAACATCCATCCATGACTCAAAAGCCATGGATAGATGAGTTACGCACCTTTTATAACTTTCTTTAGTATATTGCGTAACTCTATGTTCGAAATGTAGTTGGATTCCTGTACAGAGAGCGCCATGTCGAGAAGTGATATCAAGTAGTTGAACGTTATCAGATAAACACATCATATGTTGACTATCTTATAATCATATTTTGAATACAGTAAACCTTCAATGAAATACTCCTGTCAAAATACGAAAACTGGAGTCATGTTTATTTTCTTCCTTTGTTGATTTATTTGGGCTTGATTAGTTATTACATCCATTTTAATACAGGAAGCAAAGAGACGCAAGAGCGGTTATGAGATAATTTAGTGCATGAAATTCGGTTACGGGGAGTCAATATGCTACCCTTCAGACACCATGAGACCGTGGTTAGAACGAAGGGAAGCTCAACGCGAATGAACCAACAGCAGACAATAAAAGACATTTCCAGGTTACCTCTGATCACAACGCAATCAATATCATTGCTGACCGAGGACACAAATCGGAAGATGCCAAAACTGCGCACCCTATCCGGAGGTGCACTTTCCACCAGATTTAAGTCCTTCTCTCATGGCGACGACCTGCTCTGCTCATCCGACAAGATAGAAGCCCGATATTAAAGGAAAAGAAAAATATTTTAAAAAGGGGAAAATACAAGGAAAAGGAAAAAGGCGAAGGTGGGCCGAAAGGAGGGGCCGGGTACGACTTCGTAGGCGGAGAGGCCGTGGGCCGCTTGGTCAAGGCGAAGACGTGCCTAGGTGGAGTCTAGCGAGACCCGTCCGGTCGACTTGGCTCCGGTGACTTGGCCCGGCGAGGCGGGGCGGGACGGGGCGGGGCTGGGCTGGGCTGGACTGGTGGTCTCCGGTCCGGGCTTGCTTGCTTGGCTGATCTGGGCCGATCCGAGTGAGCAGAGAGCAGAGCGGAGCGGATCGATGTCAGACGGGCGAGGCATGACATGGCATGGCATGTCATGACTGACGCGATCGAGACGAGCGAGGAGTCAGACGAGTGCGGCGCAGGTGGCGTGCGGACGGAGACGCGCCCGAGAGCAGCGCCTGCCTTCGGTCTTCGGTCGTTTGCGCCGAGGAGATTAATAATCAAGATCGCCGAGTCCGTCTCTGTCTCGCTCGCTCGATGTTTTGAGGAGGAAAGCAGTGGCAGCAGAAGCAGAAATCGAAGGTCCGCACGGAAGGGAGGGAGCAAAGAAAGAGGAAGGAAATTGATCGGCAGCCGAGCGAGGAAGTAGTAGCGCCGGGGAGCGAAAATGCAGCGGAGTGCCGGAAGAGTGGCCAAGCGCGTCTTGGCGCAGGCAGCGGGGGCCACACAGGTCGCCGCCCCAGCTCCGGGCTCGACGTCCCCGAATCATCCCGGTGCTGCCGCTGGCCTCGTCCGTCAATTGTCCGCGCTGCCTTGGAGTCCTCCCGTCTCGATCGACTCGATCAATCCGAAGGTCTCGTCTGTCGTGCTCTCTTGATTCTCAGTCTGATTCCGCCTTCTCCAGTTCCGTGTTCTTGGCTTTCTGCAGAATGTCATGCCAATTCGAGCCTCCGCAACTGTGAACTAGGCGAGCTTGTAGATCGCATTTGCTCGGGAGCTGCTTCTTATGCTCTTTTACCTTAAAGTGCACGAGTTGTGCGATTTGCTCTTGAGAGGGCGTGGACAGAGCCCATTGCGTCATACTTCCCTGTTTCCTAGAATCACTTTGCTTGAGTCGTAATCATGATTTCTGCCGCTGACAGAGAAATTTTTTAAAATAACGACGTAGATAACGTAAATCTCTCCTCTCTAGTTCTCTGGCTTCTTATGCACAGAAGGAAATAGATCAACGACCCCCGCGCTTCTCGAGTAATGCTAAACTGGTCTGAAAGGAAGTACTCTAAAATAATTCTGACAAAATCTTCCCGCTGCCAGGTTTTCCCATTTTTCCCGTTTGATCTGCATGTTGAGCTTGTCAGCAAACGAGCGCTGACAGAGAGTTTGTTATTCAATTACTTCAATGCTACTCTCAGACTCACTTAGTCTGAGAAGGTATGCAACGAAGCATATCATGAATTTTTGGTCGTGAAGTGTTTGATCAACAGGGGTTTTCTCAACTCTTGGTTCCTTGAGAGCAAAGAATCAGACTTTTGGTCTTTATCGTGGTGGAGGTCGTTTCTGGGGAGTCTTCTTTGGAGTCTAACGAGTTCATAGCTTTTTGGTCAAGCAATTGCCCAGTATTGCTATATAACGCACGACTTCATGGTGTCATACTGGAATCTCATGAGACGGGTGCTTTTAACAGGTTATAAAGACTGAATATGCTGTTCGGGGGGAGATCGTATCTCGTGCTCAGGTGATTATGTCAATTTCCGAAGCCGGTGATTTTAATTTTGTTTCATGTCTGAAACTTGTCGTTTATGTCGGTTCTTCTGCACCAGTTTGATCAAAGTAGATGAACGTAATATCGATATGGTCGATTTGTAGACATTGTAATTTTTGAGTTTGTTTTACGTGGTTAACAGATCACATTCCGGTTCTCCTGTCGACGTATTTGTTCGTTCCAGTCTGCGACTCAGAAAATTGCTTGCACCCATCTGCTATTCTGAAGGTTTTCTGTTTGATTTGCGCAGCTCTTGCAACAAGAACTATCTTCGAAAGCATCCTCCCTGCCATTTTCAGAGGTACGTTGCATTCTGCAGCAGGATTCTTTTTCATCAAATCAGAGTCGGTAAATTCTGATTCTGACGTTCGGGGATACGGAGTATCACGTCTGATGACTATATTGAGTAATTACTCGATGTTGTCGTGTTTCGACTTGTCATAACGTGCTATTGTCCTTGAAGGTGATGGAATGTTTTTTGTGAGGACTGTAGAGTAATGCAGGTGTGCCGTCTTTCGGTGAAAAGTTTTAAGGTCATATCTTCAAATTAAGCTACGTAAACTTTAATAACCGTATTAGCATTCTGCTCGGATTTCTATATTTTGCAGATCGTTTCTCTGAATATTGGCAATCCTCAATCACTCGGTCAGCAACCAGTAACATTTTTCCGCGAGGTAAGCTTACTCATTCTGTAACGAATTTGTCAAGCCACGAGCGATGCTATGGGACATGCTAGGTTTATCATAATTCCTCATAAATAATTGTACTCCCGCAGTTCTAAATAGGCTGTGGAGTCACATTTCTGACTTTCTGAATCTTGTAAGAACAGTGGTAACGCTGAAGAAGGTTGTGAAGTTTTTCCGGCTTCCTAGATATAATTGTCCAAATCTGAATGTGATACTGAATGTTGTTTGAAGCTGACGAATGTCGTTGTCGCATCTCGCAGGTTCTTGCTTTATGTGACTATCCTGCTCTACTTGAAAAAGATGAGAGTCATGCACTTTTCAGGTACAACCATTACATGAGAGTTTCAGGAACGCTCCAGCAGTTTCTGTTCTACTTTTGTGGTCTTCTGTGTTTATTTGTTCTAAATGTGTCACTTGACTGGCCTTGCTTCACCATAATTGCGCCCAGCAGTTTCTGTTCTACTATTGTGGTCTTCTGTGTTTATTTGTTCTAAATGTGTCACTTGACTGGCCTTGCTTCACCAAAATTGCGCGCAGTTCGGATGCAATTGCAAGGGCATACAGGATTGTCGAAAGTATTCCTGGGAGAGCCACTGGAGCATATAGTCACAGTCAGGTATTTGCCTGGCTCAACTGTAATCATATATATTGTTTTTACTCGAAATCCTCTACGAGGCATTTGATGATATAAAGTTCGTCAGGTTCGTGCAGCTAATTTCCGTCTTGCTCTATACAAAGAATTCCACATTGTGAAGACTGCTGCTATGGAAACCCTTCATTCAGCACTTATCAGAAACATGTCATAACCATTTGCCACGATGTACAAGTAACAAATGTATTACCTGCTGTATTAACGTTGAAGTTTTTCTTCTCTTCGCCGTTCTGATCGTCATACTTGAACATCTCTCAGGGAATCAAAGCTATTCGGGAAGAAATCGCTGCAGGAATTGCAGCTCGAGACGGGTTTCCGGCGAATGCGGATGATATATTCCTAACGGACGGAGCGAGTCCAGGAGTAGCGTTCATGACCATATTCCTTGTTAATTCCAGAAGTAGTCACTTTGATAGCAGTGGAAGGTGACTGTGTCTTCTGTTTGGAACCATTAAACTCATGTGAGTGTTCTAAATGTGTGTGTTACGAATCTGAATATGTAGTGTTTCTTTCTCAGGTACATATGATGATGCAGATGCTGATTTCCTCGGAGCAAGATGGTATATTGTGCCCGATACCACAATACCCTTTGTACTCAGCGTCAATCGCGCTGCATGGTGGCACTTTGGTACGTGCTCAGTATCTTCCAGGCTGAAGTAAAATCAAAATCGGAAAGCCATTTTTCTGATCATGCAGTTAGGAAACAGGTGCATTTACCCGATTGGTTGCTGCACATGTGCCCTCCACGTTTTCCGCTTCCCTGCTTACCGTTTTTTAACCAGCTAAAAAGTCGAAGTTTCATTCTGGATACGGACCAATCTGTCTACTGAGTACGAGCTCTTAATGATGTATCCGAAGAATCTAAAGAATCTTTGGATTTTCAGGTCCCGTACTACTTGAATGAGAGCTCAGGTTGGGGTCTTGAGATTTCCGAATTGAAGCAACAGTTAGATGCGGCTCGGGCCTCGGGAACAAGAGTGCGTGCTCTTGTTGTAATCAACCCCGGAAATCCAACGGGCCAGGTGCTTATTTCAACAGCGGATCCTTTCCTCGCAGTTCTCATTATTGCTTTGCAGCTTATACGGAAGGATAGTCATTGGAGGAAATTATTGATGTATTTTAAAGTGTGATTTGTTTATCTTAAAATGTTAAACCATGACTGTTTATGGTGTGTGCCGTGTAACTATTCTCAAGTGATTTACACAACGGGTGGAAACGACGTCGGGTAATTGACCTGTCTGGCACAACCTCAAAAAATGGAAGCTTCGACTCACAGTACACCGTGATCTTGCAGGTGTTGACAGAACAAAATCAGCGAGAAGTGGTACAATTTTGCAGGGATGAAGGCCTTCTGCTACTTGCAGATGAGGTGAGGTTTAAAGCGTCAGTTGTTTATTGACTTCATGTTGTCTTTGTAAAGGCATCGCTTTACTGAAGGTTTATCTCGACATTGGACTTCCTTTCGGAGGTCAAATGCAGAGGATGAGTGTTGGATGTTCCAAACTGCGGTGCAAAAATGTATTCATGCCCCTATCTATGGATTTGAATTGTGACACCGCAGTTTGGAACAATCATCATCCAGTTCTGATCAGTAAATTGTCAGAATGAATTTACTATGAATGAATGAGGCTATTATGGGGAGTGTGGAAAATGAGGAGGTTACATGGAAGTAACAGGCTTGGATGCCGAGGTGAGAGATCTGCTGGAAAATTGTAAATCAGAATGAAAATGACAGATGTTTTTGAAGACTTCATTTCCACTGCCTTCGATGAGCAATCTTTTGATCTTGAAACATGTTGATACGCTTTGTTGCAGGTATATCAAGAAAACATCTATGAGGAGACCAAAACATTCCACTCATTTAAGAAAGTTGCCAGGAGCATGGGTTTTTTTGACAAAGATCTGAGTCTTGTTTCTTACCACTCAGTTTCTAAAGGTGGGTTGTTTAGATTTCTGCTTGATTTAACGAAGATATTCAACGCACTGTAGAACGTTATTAGGCATCATAGATGATTCATGTCTGACTCACTATCCTGATGAATCAGGCTATTATGGGGAGTGTGGAAAGAGAGGAGGTTACATGGAAGTAACAGGCTTGGATGCCGAGGTGAGAGATCAGCTGTACAAGGTTGCCTCCGTGAACCTTTGCTCAAATATCACCGGCCAGATTTTGATGAGCTTGGTTATGAATCCTCCCAAGGTATGACACCGCAACATGATATGGATGTATCACAGCAAGTTATTATTTTTATGCGTGTTGTTATTGCAAGCTTCATGGATTCTGTAGCTAAGAATATGAAACCGTTATTTTCTCCGATCGGCCGGAAATGGCAGCTAATTCTCATCGTGGTTATATATTTCAGCCAGGAGATGAATCTTATGACAACTTTACGAAAGAACGTGACGGTATTCTTTCCTCACTAGCCAGAAGAGCTCAGGTAGAGCCCTGAAATTCGTGTCTAGGTCAATGTTATTACCAAGGTTGGAGAAGGAGAAAATGTCTTCAATAGCTTTAGAACTTTCGAATTGAATGTGTATCCTTCAGAGGTCTTTGTATGTTTTGAGTGTGTTATTTGTGTAATTTTCATCAGTTTTCCTCGATGCTTTCTCCTCTATCGGATTTCCAGAGTAGTCGGTATTAGAAATAGTTTAACATGTGAACTTTTGTACGACAGCTTATGACGGATGCGATGAATAAGCTAGAGGGCGTGACGTGCAACAAGGCAGAAGGTGCAATGTATGTTTTCCCGCGCTTGAATTTGCCAGAGCGTGCGATGAAGGCAGCGGCTGCAGTCCAAATGCTTCCTGATGTATTTTACGCTCGACGCTTACTAGACGCCACAGGAATTGTTGTTGTCCCAGGTTCAGGATTTGGCCAGGTAAGGTTTCAATTTCTTGCTGTTGGAAAGAATTTTTGAGTTTTTGCCTAAAAGTAATGATTTTTGTATGGGAAGTGCCACAACCTAGTCGGAAAGGGCCTGCTTTTCTTACTCATTTACAAGTTGATACAACAATGTTTGCAGGTGCCTGGAACTCATCATTTTAGGTGCACTATCTTGCCGCAAGAAGGAAAGTTACCCGATGTTATTGCCAAGTTCACTCAATTCCACGAGAGATTTATGGAAGAATTCCGGGACTGATGTGCTAGGACAAACGTTTTCGGAACTCAGCATTCCGATACTTATCCCCGGTAAACGGGTTCAAAACTTGCGGAGAGAAGTAAGTTTTCTAGCTGCGGGTTTTCTTGGCTGTTCGTGAACTTCACTGGCTGTGTGGATTGTATATACTGTGCACCCTTGGCTCTTTTTATCAGGTGATGTGCTGATAAAAAGTGCATATGTCATAAGTGGACTCCTGGTCTAAGATACAATATCCACAAGCACTCACCTCTCATGGGAATCCTTACAACTGTTGCTAGTTTTAGGTCTTATCTCATGATATGTCAACCTCGCCATACTTCGCCTGTGAAGGAAACTTTGCAACGGTGTCACACCAAGTCCCTCGGATGAACTCCCCACCCGGTACCGCCTGATAGTTCAAACTGTTGTGTCCACATATGACAATAGTGGCTCAGTACATGAGCAGCTTTCTTTTTCGAGGTTGCAACGAGGATGCAACCTCGGGCCAAAACCAGTTGTGGTCTGTGCTTCCGTTTGTCGCGTTTAATTTCGATTTCAAATCTGTTAAAGGGCAAATACTATTCTGGAACAATGTAATCTATTGAAGGAAGTGAGGAACTTAACACCCAAAGAACTGAAAGATTTTGAGTCAAGGAACTGAAAAACAGTCGCTAAGTGTATTGAGTTGTCTGATGTGGATTTGACATGGTTCGAAGATGCTCCAGTTTCGCGTATATGAATGAAAGAAATCCACCGTGGAAGGTGCTAAAGCTTTCACTGTACGTTAACTCAGTCTTGAAGTCATTCGAGTAGAGAGGACCCAGTTTATGGACGTGAGGTGATGCTGTAGAGTGTAGGCAAGAACTTGTATGGATGGTCGAAAATCTCGATAAACAAATACGATAAGCAAGATTCGTTTTTTGCATTTATTAATGTACCCATTTCCTGATCTAACCCGTTTGGTGCAGGATTTTGTTTACGTTCGAAACAAAATTATGTGGTCGATTCATTGCATTGATCTTTAAACTATGAATCCACGATCAAGCTGCAAATCATTGAATAGGTAGTGCAAGGCACCAAATGTAAGTACCATTATTGTTTCCTTCGTGATTCGTGAGGAACACTCGAGTTCAAAGTTATCTGGATCAAACAGTCCATGACAATTCTGTAGAGAACTGTACAACGACTTCAAAACACAGTTTGATGAATTTGTGTGACTCTTCCCGGAAGTGAGAACTTGGGCTCAAAGTCCGTTTCTTCAACCTGAATGACGCAAATTTCTCACCGCTTTGCAATGTGTTCTATTTGAGGATGTAAAGTTGTATGCGTCACGCAAGAGAAATCACTCTCCATGTGTGGTAAACTCCCACCAATAAAGAATGAATGTCATCTTAACTAACTGTTCTATTACAATCAAATCTATACAAACTTTGGTTGACCTTTTATAGTAGTTAGTGGAAGTTTTGCAGTAAATTTATTGTCAAAGACTGATAACCTATATAATACCATTCACATTCAACGAGTGAGACTTTAGTTCAACATGTAATAAAATAAATAACAATACAAAACTTCATACAGCTGAAAACTAATAAAATTCAATCTACGCTAAAGATTGAATAAAGATCAGGTTTTTAAACGAAAGACAATCTGAGTAGAATATTTGTAGGGGTCTTATTTATTTATCTTTACAAGCGAGCAATATGTTTTAACTTTAGGAATTTCAAAGTTGAACTTGACCTCATTGGATAAAGATCACACAAATTAGGAGAAATTTGCTTGATGGTACCACTGCGGAAAGTAATTTGCTTGATGGGATCCTTCAGGTTTCATTTTACCCAATGGGTAAAATGAAACGATGCACTGTCATCCATGTTTTAATAACAACTAGAGAGAATGCAACGAGTCAACCACACCCGCGGACAGAGTGGACTTCGCCCTCCATCACACTCACTTGTTTTTATGTTGTCATTCTGTATCCAGCCACTCACCCAGGTGACGAGCAAAGAAATGTTCATCTGGAGTTTATTTGTTCGCCACAAATGGGTGATCGCGAGACTTCAGCTCGGACCACTTTCCGGTACTAGCTCCTCGTCCCATACAGAGGGTTACAGAAGGAGGGTGCAGGTGGGAGGCAGCAGAGAAATCCGCGAATCGGTGGGATCCGAAGAAATGAAGAACAACAAATAGCACTTCCAGCAAAATCGATCTTTGACCTCGTGATAATCCACCAGATACTATAATCAGTGATTGATCTCTGATTATAATCCCCGCATTGTAACTAGTAGTAACCGTAATTACAAGAACTATGTCCGACGGCACACCGTCGTTGGGGTTCCATCGGGTAAAACTAAACCTGAGGGGTCCCATCAAGCAAATTACTTTCCGCAGGGTTCCCATCAAGCAAATCTCTCCACAAATTAGTCATTGATAGTATTTGTATTGAATTATACAGTAAATTTTGATCTATTATCGAGTGTATGATCAAATGACTTTAAAATAATACCTTAAGTTCAACCATTTTACCAAAAAACGGGTAACTTCACTGCAATCAGAACATAGGTTTCAAATGTTTGACGTAGACACAACATTCTTCTAGTTCGTTGTATCATCGTTAACAACATATGAACTAATATTTATGAAAACAAGTAAAAGATAAAGGATAATAGATCAAGCCCGGTATCCAAAGTATCAAAATGTTGAAAAACACAATACAAGCAAAAACCAAAAACAAGATAAAAGATCCCAAAGCTCAATTCCTAATTAGTGCCAAGTGCCAAAAACGGTAACTAATAATGTTTCTAATATAACAATCTAAATCAAAAGTAATTAACCGTGATAAATCATAGAAATTCTCCACATCTATATTATGAGCAAGCCTAATGTCTTCGTACTTAGAAAGTGTAACGAATACATGCTCTTCATACTTAATGTACCCACCTTCACATAATCTACAAATAGATTCACTCTTAGCAATATTAAACTAACATCTTTCTCTATTCAAGCCTTTGAATCCACTTCTATATCTAGCAATAATATAACGTAAGCACGTAGAGATTCTTGTTCACAATAAACAAGCATAGGACTCACATGAAGTTGATAAAATTGCATCTTGATGATGCGTTTGCTCCAAATAATGTTCAGAAATTTTTCATTTAGATGTTCGCGTAGTGCCATAGGTTGCAGGTCCCAATCGCGTTCTGTCACATTCTACCTCAAAGATCAAATCATCACATCCGCTAACCATCCTTTGGCACGTGTGGCATGCAAAGCTTGAAGAAAAAGGCGAGAAACATCAAGAGATTTCACACTTCTGATGTAAGTGATGGTGAAGTATAGAGCTTCAACCTCTATCTATAAACAACCAGTTTCAGCAAGAAGAATAGCATATGGAGTTTGGTTTTTCACACCCAATTCTTCTTTTAGAAATATCTTTTGCACCTTCTCCACACGCTTCCAACCTGTCTTCTTACAACCAAAGCCCCATACTTGGATTCCATATAGTACTACCGACAACACTAAACTTAGATGAGCTCTTCTACACCAATTTAAGAATGAATATAGAGCTTTGTAATCATTTTCTACTTTCTTTTGCACGCTATGTGTACAACTGTAATTATTAGAAAAATCAATGCTTAGATATTTATAACTGTTCACATCTTCCAATTGTATATCATTGTAATTGAAATAGAACTTGAATCTAGTGCCCACTACCATGACTTTAGACTTTTTTATATTTAACTCCATCTGATTATGGCTACAAAAGCTAATCAAAGTATATAATTATTTCTGTAAACTAATTGCATCACGTGCAAGTAATATGATATTCATTAGCATACAAGAGAACTTTGATAACAAAGTTTTCAAGCTTAACACCTTCACTATCACATGCCTCCAACCACTCTTTGATATCATATATAAAAACTCCAAATAGAGTAGGAAAGAGACTATAACTTTGAATCATTCCAATGATACTCATTAACTCTTCAGTTTGAAAAGTGTTGATCTTGGCCCAAATAAAGTGGTATTATAATGTGGCCACAGATGCTAGAAGATCTGATGGTACTCTAATGATTTGCAACCTTATCCATAAAAGCTCACGAGGTATATTGTTTAAAGCTTTCTTAAAATTGATGAAGGCGCGAAACAAAACTTTTCCATTGCTCTTAGAATTCTCCCATCAAACACGGAAGACCAAGATGTGGTCAATGGTGTTGTATGTAGGGCAAAAACTTCAAACCGCACTCACTTTTGATGAGATTATGTCCATGTACTCAACTTTGACTCCATCAATTTGCCAAACAACTTGGCAAAAACATTACCCACCATTATAGTGCGATAGTTTGTCACCAAGCCTTTCCTTCCTGATTTATAAATAGAAAAGATCTTTTGTAAAGACCAAGTTGAAGGAAAATTATACATAGAAGCATTCTCTAATGCTTTAGTGAGTATTGATCCAATAATATCTCCTTCTCATTTAAAAAGTTCAATAGAGATTTCATCCAAATACTTTGATTTACCATTTGCTAAATTTTTGACTTGAATTAATACCAGGTCTATGTACATTAGGCATTCTAAAAATAGATGCTTAATATCCCTAATATTAAATGTCTTGAATACCTAATCTTCAAAAAACTTTCATGAACATTCAACGGAGGAAAGAAATTTTTCTCGAACATTCAACGCAGGAAAGAAGAGGAGTCGCTTTGCTCGCGTGCTCCGTTTGAAGTGGACGTTAACTGAGGTGTGGACAACTTTGAGGATTTACTATAAACCCGTAGATTTACCAATTCTTTGCTTGTTTTTGATCTCAAAATTCAATGTTTTCTTTCTTCACTGTACTTATGTACAATAACTTTTTTGACGTTGCAGGAAGAGCAACCCAACGTTCGAAGCAATCGTAGAATTTGTCACACAACTATAGCTTCTGTCTATACGGCGGAAGTCCAAAGGAGAGGAGGCTTGGAAGAATCCAACAGGCGGCTCAGTGTGTCTCAATCACATGTGAGATTTAGAAGAAAGTATGTGATTGAAAAATATTCCTCGTTTGTTTGCAACCAACCAAAGAATGCATTGAATGTTTTTCTCTTCATGTACACAATCTTATCTAGAAGGTAGTGTGTTTTTGTGTGTAGCTTTTGGACAACTATTTTTCTCGTATTGATTATGTTAAGACAGCCCTTCGAGACCAAGCTCAACCTCTTCAATTTCACGTGACTCACATTTTTGACTATGCATTTTTTCTGAAGGTTTTGGAGCCCTTGCTTCTAAAATTGTGATTTGTTATAACTCGTTAGAAGATTGCTTAAGATCAAATATAAAAGAAAAAGATGTATAAGAAACTATCTGAACGCATGAAAGAAGAGAAGTTGCTTCGTTTGTGTGCTCCGTTTGAAGTGGGCGTTAACTGATGTGTGGACAACTTTGAGTACTAACTATACACCCGTAGATTTACCAATTCTTTTTTTTTTTAAGGAATATAAAAGTGAACCAGACCAGTGCTAGAGAGTGGTGATTTAATCTTTTTCTCGTGAATCTTGATTTCCAACAAGAGGTGGAATCTGCCAAGAAGTCAATAGGCTTACTAGGAGCGTCTTTCATTCATGGTTGGAATAGCAAAACGGTCGAACGCGGTGCCGACGCGCATGACACCTTTCAATTCGTCGCATCAACTAGAATATGGTCTTCAGATTTCAAACGAGGTTTTGTCACGAGTTGAATCATTGTAGTTGCATGCAGATTCTATACAATCTTTGGTTGGGAGAGCAAAATTGGTGCAAAACG